AACTTCGCTGGCGCTTCCTAGTGTTGCCTCAGCCTCACTTCACCACTCACAATGTTAAAGTGGGGAATGATGGTCAAGCGCCCCCTAACTTTAGAGCATAGTGATTGGATATTTACTCGCGGGGCGGAGTTTCCTCATCTCAACTCATGCATTTAGAGGCACACACAGTCAATTCGGGGAGATATAAAACACACATAAAATATTTAAATGCAAAACCGCAAGGTCGCACTGTACGGTTCAATAATACATTGAGAACTGTGGCATCCCTAGTAGACACTCCAACTCCCAGACTTAGGCAACAACGATCCTGGCTCATTCAATTTCCTAAAAAATACCAAAATACATCCTCATAATGACTATACGAAAATAATGACTTTATTTAACAGTTTCTGCTCCTCAGTGTCAGTATAACGCGCATGGTTTACAATTGCACTATGTGTGTCCCGCCTGGTCATCTGAAGCTGAGCGCGGACATCCGGGGTACATGTCACTGCAAAATGCTCAGGAGCATGCACCCTATACTGACATAAAGGAGATATAACTTAAAGGGCACCTAGTTTACCCCTTTTTTTAAGATTTAATATTAATATTATGGTTCTTCTGAGTGTGCCAGTTTAAGTTGAAGTGTCCTGAGTCGTGTTTGGGCACCGCGGACACCCGCCGACTTGCCCCTGAAAGAAACCTATTTTTAGAATTCTAAAATACTTGGTACTGTGTAGCACGACGCTGCACTTCTGGTGTGTGACCAGCCGGCAAGTTTGTTATTATTTTATTTATTATTATTGTTATTATTATTTTATTTAATGGAGGGACGCGCACGTGAGGCAACGCGCTCGCACTTTCCAGCTGCTCTTAGTTAAGATCACAGGGAGCTTCTGTGACAGCGAGAAATGCAAACGGCTGAATTTTAAGGTAGACGCAATGACAAGTACATGTTTGCAAACCCACCTAAAGTTACAAACAATAATTCCGATGAGAGCGATCATGTGCTGAATATTGATCTTGTGTTGAGCCCAATGAGCCTTACATCTAAAAATAGAGCAAGGGTGTTTCTTTAGTGTCCTCGCTTTGACTTACACCCTGAAAATGGCGGACGTGAAACAACAAACTGAGGTTATGGTAATGCGCGCCTGTCAGTTAATACTGGTGGGCGGGGGCACCTCACTCCTACATCAAGTTGTGGTCGATCTAAAAACCGCTCCTATTGGTCCACCGTTTTTAGGTTGTTAAATTGAAAAAAAGGTCTGGGTGTGTTCATATCACCCCAATATGATGCTCTATACACTATACCTACACACGTCTGTCCAAACAGCTTGAAAAGTAGATTTTTCACCATAGGTGCCCTTTAAATGAAGTTGTTATTTTTGTTTGTTTCGACAAAATAATTTTTTTAGCTTCATAATTTTCCAATTGAACCGCTGGTGGCATATGGGGCATTTTGAGTTTTGAAGATGAACAAAGGTCTCAGTGGTTTAGAGTAAAATGAGGGTGAGTGATTAATTACGGAATTTTTATTTAGGGGTTCATTAACCCTTTAAGTGTTTATTGATTTTTAAAAAGGCTCCTTACGGAAGTCATGACCCTGTGCATTTCTCAGCATCTCATTTCTGACTGTTCTAACTGTCATGTACTGCTGACTGTGCTGTTTGTGCTGTACAGCCGTTTGCTGTTTTTAAAGACTTTGAGCTAAAGTATGCAAAAGTATTGTCTTAAAGTTGTCTTATGATGTTACCAAGTTTTATATCAATGGCATCAGTTGAAAATACTACAGAGCAAAATTCTGGGCAATAGCTCAATTTTTAAAGAAATCACCGTAAAATAAACCCAATATTTGAACTTAAACATTAGTATATTTATTTTGAATTTTAAATTAAGCTTTTCAAATGACAACTCTTTGTTAAAATATTTAAGTAGTTGGCATTCCAGTTAAATAATCACAATGACTGTATACTGCAAATCAGACTAGGTCTAGTCTCAGTGGCACTGGTTTGGACACAAAGTGCCGAGAAGGTGGCCGAGTGTCACATTTTCTTCAGAGCAACTGCTCACAGTCTCAGACCTCTGCTGTGGGGTCAATCATTCGCAGACTCTTCAAGAACATTAGCTGACCGCAGCACTGCCCTGATTTAATTAGCAATGTATTTGTAGTGTCCAAAAGGAAGTCTTCTGTCCACACAGAGAGTGAAAATACCACACACATACACATACTTGTTCAGCTAGCTTTATAGGACTTTATTAAACAATACTTAAAAAAAATACTTAAGTTTGTATGATGTTGAATGAGTCATTTTTTTAAACGAGGACCAAACAAATTTAAATAAAGTTAAAGTCGCAGTGAACGGTATATTGCAGATACTTTTATTTTAGTATGTTGATGTACTTCTCACTGAAACTTAATATTGAGTAGGGGTGGGGCTTTTTTGTGTGTGTTTCATTGCCTCATAAACTAATGATAAGAGAGGCGTGGTTAGGGATGGCTGACGTTTCAACACAGTGTCGAGATACTAAAGCGCAAGCATTGCAAAACACTGTACTGAAGCATGATCCGAACCACCCAGGTCATGTGACTAAGGGGATTTGAAACACCCAAATTAAGTGGCTAAAGTGATTTGAAACACCCAGGTCACATGGATAAAGTGTTTCAAAATGTCACATGACTAAAGCAATTCAAAGCATCAGTCATTACAGAAGTGTTTCGAGACCTGGCGAATCTGCAGTTGACTGTACAGGGTCTGGAAAAACTCTCATGTAGCCTAGTTGACTGTGCGTGTGCACAGAGTTGCAAATAGTCCAAGTTCAAATCCTGACTTGTAATACCCTTAAATCATTTCTTGACTGATTTTAATGGTACTTTTTTGCCCAAACAAGACAATTTTATTCACAAAGCGTTCAATCTGATGTCAGACCAGTGTTGAAACAAAACATGTTAAAACAGAGCATTTAAAAAGTACATGTAACTGCATCATCCTGGATTCGAAGCCATTATTTGAGCATGCTAGTCTAGAACTGTCACCGCTTTACTATCCCTTGAATTTACTATCCCACGGGGCTTCAGCGTCAAAGCTTGATGAAGGGCGTGTCTGAAGTTAGGGCTGATGCGATCATCATAGCAGTATCAGCCAATAAAATTAGTCCACAATCGGCTACAGTCTGAGCTGGGGTACAGGGCTGGCCCTGTACATTCGACGGCTCTAAGCAGAATAATTTTAGGGCCCTACCTTGCTCTAAATAGTCGGGTATTGCCATTGCAAACTGGCCCACAATGATTTTATTGCTTATTAAATGCAATCAATGAAAGAGAAAAGTGATTTCTTCTATACTTAACTATCTTAATGATTTGGACACTTTAAAACAGCACAGTTTTGTCAACTACCACCTCCCTAAATGAAGAATTAAACAATTAATTTAGCAAACAGGTTGAAGATTCTATAAAGGATTCTAGGTTAAGTTTTTATTATTAATATTAATATTATTATTAGAAATTTAGTGAAAATGCGTTACTTGTAAATGAAATATATATTCTGAACGAAAAGGGGAAAAAAAGGAAACAACAAATTCTGGGTTAAAGTTAACGCTCAAACACCAACTTTATTATTCCCTTCAGTCACTATCCCTGTTCCTTACAATGTTATATATATAAATATATTTTTCCCGGGAAAATATTTAATATTTCATACAAGTAGATGATGTTTATTAATCTGGAATTGCCTGTTTTCGATAAATGTGCTTTTTGTTTATGTCTTTAACATCATTATTAGCACTTAAAAGCGATGCTAAACATGATTTTGTGCTCATCATTTTCTCATGTTTTATAATTTTTCCACTCAGTTTTTCTACGCCTGAAGAGTAACAGTAGATTCGTTTCATTTTTGCGGTCCACTTTCCAAAATAAATCAGGTATATAAATGGGGCATGAAGCAAAGGCCATGGCTGTACGGATTCGTGTTCCGGTGGTCTCGCAGGTTACCTTGAAAGAGCAAACTCGAACTGCTAGAACACAGAACGCATTAGAGAAATGAGATACTGCAAGCTTCCTGATCACATCACCTTCCACACGTAAACGATTTCAACTTTAATAAAATCTTGATTTTTTTTTTCTTTTTAGTGTAAATTTATAAATATTTAAGTACTAAAGCACTGTCAAAGAAGATCATTTGTTAAATGCAAATAAAAATGATTTCAGCAAGGTAACGGCTCGCACCACTAGCAGCTTATGCAGCAGTTTGTACCCTAAGCAGCAGCTTAGTTTGCTTATAGGAAGGGCCGGATCTGCTGGGGTATTTTCATATTTCAATCTGATTGGCTGACACTTCTGTTGGCACTTGAAAAATTGAGAAATTCTTCTGCTTCTAGCAACGCAGGCAGATCCACAATAAAGTTTGGCAACGCCTGATGTCACCTATTCAAAGTGAATGGGAAGCGTTGACGCTGAAGCCCAGTGTGAATTGGGGCATAACTCTACAACCTGGAGTTTAATACCTCAATTTGCTTTACTTTTTCTTTGCTGAAGTTGTTCCAGAGTAGTGCATAAAAAATGACCTATAGATATCACTGTAGACGGGTTTCAAAGCTTTGACAGATGTATTATTATTATTATTATTATTATTATTATTATTTACTTTAAGCAGAAGATCACATTTGCTTCAACTATTTCAGTTTTTCATGAAGCCTCACTTTGCCCACCACTAGGCATGGTTAATAATATTGTGGCTGAATCAGTCAAAAATCAACAGAGATAGACCGCCACTCCAAATGAAGAAGTAAATATTCAGAAGTTGACTGAAGATTACCAAATTAAACAGGTTTATTTTCTAGTGGATTAACTTGCAGTGATTAATTGTTCACATAAAGAAATAAACAAAAATAAATAGTCAATTTTGATTTTGCACAGAATTCAACGCAAGTTTAAAACCTGCTAGTATTGCTATGATAGAGGATATTTGATCCCCATAAAGTGATAAATACAAGGTACACACACAAAGCACGGAGACAATATGAAATGCATCTTCTGTCAACTTTAATCTTTTGAACACATTAGTTGTATTAAATACATGTTTTATTCCTTTTCCAGTTTTTTTTTTCTAATGAATTAAGTTTATTCTCATATGAAACAGAGCAAGGTGATAAAGTCTGAACCAATATTTACATCAAATACAAAAATATAAATTCACAAAACGGTATTACAGATAAATTTACAATAACCAACTCTATAAAATTACAAATATATTTCTATAAAAAGCTATTTAAATAATCTTACAGCTCAAGTTTTTTTTTTTACATTTACCAGAGAGCACAGCCATTCCTGTCAAATGTGTATTTCTTATTCATTTGTGTTTGAGATTGTTTCGTATGGGTGTTAAGTATACAAGAGGACTTGTGGAACCATGACTACGTATTCTCCATCTTCACAGTAGTTTGTCAGGTGTGGTGTAGCTGTTGTCCCCCAGCGGAGCTTCAATGTGGTGGGTTTCCAATCATTCCGTCTCTGACTCACATGCCTACAAGCAGACAAGCACAGAACATACTTAGTACGTTTTCAGGCCCTCGGGTGTCAGTTATTTTTGGTGTGTATGTGGATCCTCTTTTTAGAGACACACACCATAAACATTTTTAGCCTTATTAACCTTTCATTAGCAGGCCATTTTAAGTCAAACCACCTTTATTCCTACAGCGCTTTATAGAATGTTAGTTTAGAAGCTGCTTTACAAGTATGATCATGCAAATAATAAAAATGCTATCATTTTGGAACATATTCAATATATCAGGCAAGCAGCAGAATAGAATGCCAGTAATGTTTTAGTTGATTTAAAAAAGATTCAGTTCAGTTCAATACAAATGTGTCTTGGTACATTTCCATTATAAATATGCGCATGAAATAAGTCAATAACATACTATTGCAACATGATGGAATTTCATTTAACCAATGCTGTTCGACTAAAACTCATCCTCTAGCATTAAGTCATAGCAAAAATCATGGTAAAAAATATATGGTTTACTCATATATCACATTTATTTTAGGTTTCATCTAAAGTTTAACTTAATATTTTTGTCAGTTTGATTGGTGTAACGCCCCATTCACACAGGGCAACAGCGTCAACGTCAACGCTTCCCATTCAGTTTGAATGGGTGACGTCAGGCGTTGCTGAACTGCATTGTGGATCCTTCGGCGCCGCTTCAGAGGCGTTGCTTTGCTGCAAAAGTTGGGACTTGCTCAACTTTTCAAGGGGCGACGGAAGCATCAGCCAATCGGATCGCTGTATGCAAATACACCAGCTTGGACTGTGGCCTATTGCTGACTAATTTCATTGGCTAACGCTGCTATGACGATCAGGTCAGCCCCAACTTCAGACACGCCCTCTGTCAAGCGTTGACGCTGAAGCCCCGTGAGAATGGGACGTAAGTTGAAATCACTAGAAAGGTTCATTTAATTCAGCCTAAAATATTTGACTTGTATATGTGGATTCATGTGACCGGTAAATGCAGGTAAAATTGTTTTCATGTTTTGTAGAATTGCCTGAATAACCACCTAATATGAGCTTTAGAAAAGCTTTAGAGTCTGCCAGATCTGCTTGCTTTTCAACTTTAATAAAAGAAGATAAACACAATCCTAGGATCCTGTTTAACACAGTGGCCAATCTAAATAAAAATAAAGCATCGACGTGCCCTTCTCAACACAGCAGTTATGTATTTATAAATTTCTTCTCGGTGACACTTTATTTTGATGGTCCATTTGAGTATTAGTAGACTGTCTGCTTAATATCTGTTAATACTGTTCCTCCAACAGACATTTAATGGACTATAAGAAACTTAGCAAGTACATGTCAACTTACACTAACCCCAACCTAAAAGTCTACTTATAATCTAATCAGAATTAGTTGGCATGTAGATGCAATGTAACTTATATTCAACAAACGAACCATCAAAATAACCTCCTTCACATGCAAGATTGATGATATCTAAGATAAAATAAGCACCATCAATCTGCCTTCTACAGCAATTATAGCACTGTAGATCATTAATGGATAAACTTCAAACTATTTTCAGCAGTAGGTGAGGAAGAACTGTCTAAACTGATGAATTCCTTTAAATCAACAGCATCTATGCTAGATTCTATACCAACTAATTTATTAAAACAATTGTTTTCAGAAGTTTCTGAACCTGTTCTTAACTTTTGAATTCATCTAAATTTTTAGGATGTTTTAGTGCCTAAACTAGCTGTCATTAAGCCACTTATTAAAAAAACAAAGCTTGATTCTAAAGAATTTGTAAATTATAAACCCATTTAAAACCTGCCTTTTCTATTAAAGATACTAGAAAAAGTACCATCTGCTCAATGTTGACATTACTAAGAAACAATATTTGTGAAAAATTCCAATCTGGATTTAAAGCATTTCATAGCACAGAAACGGCACTCCCAGGAGTTACAAATGACCTGCTCCTGTCGTCTGATCATGGTTGCATTTCTCTCTTAGTGTTATTGGACCTCAGTGCTGCATTTGATACAATTAATCATAATATTCTCCTTGAAATCATGTTGGTATTAAAGGTATTAAATTATTGGCCTGGTTCAGGTCTTATCTAGCTGAACGTTATCAATTTGTATTAGTTAATGAAGAGGCATCATACCGACCAAAAGTAAACTGTGGGGTACCACAAGGCTCAATTATTGGTCTCTTCCTTTTCACACTATATATTAAAAAACATGGAGATATTAAAAAACTTATACTAATGATACAAAATTTTATATCTCCTCTCTGATCATTTGTATGAATTACGAAATGAAAACTTGGATGACTAACAAACTTCTTATTGCTAAATTCAGATAAAACTGAGATCTTGCTTAATGGACCCAAAAACCTCACAATCAAAAACATACAACACTGTCTAACTCTTGATGGACTCTCAGTTTAAAGTTCTCACTCTCAAGTGATTTTAATAGCAACTTGTCATTTGAAGGCCAGATTTCAAGGATCTGTAAACTGTAAAAGTATTTTGCAATAATTGGCCATTTATGCATTAGGAGTGTTTTCAATTCACAATTTGAAAGGTAATGGAAACATAGACCTTAGAAGCACATTATCCGAAAGTCCTATCAATGTATTGTCATGAATGTAGTTTCCCTTGATGCTTTAGAGATAAACAACTTTGGCTACCCTGTCTTGTCAGAGTGATTTAAACTGTATGTGTGCATAAATAAAAATGTTCAAGGCACTGGCTATGTAATTCTAATTGTCAGAAAAAGGGTGGAAAGTTGTCATAACAACAATGATTTATGACTGTTTTGGTGCAAAAAAAACACCCTACAAAATGAATGATAAGATTTAAGATGTCATGGCCTCCCCCTCTATGGCAGATAAAATCAGTGGACATCCCCCTTTGGCTACAGTTACAGGACTGCTTTGAAAGAGAGTAGATCTGCATACACACACACACACACACACACACACACACACACATTCTTTTCTCTTTCTGAAGCAAGTCATAGCACTCTAGAATGTAGGAGCGTCCAGAGCAAATGATCTTAGCTGTGTTAATGCAACAGCGTAGGAACAGTGTAATACATTATTATTAATGTATTATTAAATGTAGTAAATTATAATAATTTTTTGATAGGTCAAATAAAAATCTTTTCCATCTGGGCCATTTGAAAAATACCTTAGCCTTTAGTGCTTAATGAGTCTAAAATGTCATTTATAATGGTCTTAAAAATGTCTTTAAAAAGTCCTAAATTTAACTCCTTAATGAAACCTGTAGAAACCCTGAGCATTGTTTAATCCTTGTTTTTGTTACTTAACAAAATGTTAACTCATAGGACATTCATGTTATCAGATACAATTATGCACAGCAGTGCTACTCACTGATGTATAAATGCTGAAGCAGAATCTCTACCAGCTGACACATTTCTACGCTCATTTCATCACAGTTCTTGATATAGATGGGAATGGATAGGAGACCACATGGAAAGCTGGTTGCTGCCGGAAGTGGTTTATTGAGACCAGCAGGGGGCACTCAACCTTTGGTCTGTGTGGGTCCTAACGCCTCAGTATAATGAAGGGTACTTTATACTGCTCAGTGAGCACCTTCTTTCGGATGAGATGTTATCCAAGGTCCTGACAATCTGTGGTTATTAAAAATCCCAGCATGTACTTCAAAAAGAGTAGAGGTTTAAATAAAACATCCTGGCCTAATTTGCCCACTGGCCTCTGTCCATCATGGACTCCTAACCACCCCCATAATATAATTGGCTACATCACTCTGTCTCCTCTCCACTAATCAGCTGGTGTTCGGTCTGGTGCAATATGGCTGCTATCACGTCATCCAAGTGGATGCTGAACACTGGTGGTGGATGAGGAGATTCCCCCAATGTGTAAAGCACTTTGAACATCCAGAAAAGTAATATATAAATGTAAGGAATTATTATTATTATATAAAAAATGACTTACTCGCTAATGTTCTGTCAAGGTCAGCAATGAAGTCCTCTAGCTCTTTAGTGTCTCCAAGTTTAGCTGAAGAGGACAATACATAGTTAATCATCACACTACAAAAAATCTGCTTCATGTGTAAAACAGAAAGATGTTAATTTACACTCACGTTTAGGAGATGTAGCCAGTGGACTGTTTGGTGAGGGGGAGAAAACGGTTGGAGAGTTTAGCTTTTCGTCACTAAAGCTGAAACTGTTTCTGTTCAAGGATTCTGCACCTATTAGAGAAGGAAAAAAAAGACAGAGGAAGTCAGAAACAAATAACTGATGTTTCCTGTGTATTGCACAGTGCACCACTAAGCCCAACATAGTGATTCTCAACAGGTGGATCATGAGCCCTAAATCTCTAACATGTCCACAGTGACATATAATTGTGTAGTAAGGCTGCACAATATATAATTTGAGCATCGATATTGCAATGTGTGTATACGCAATAGTCACACTGCACAGGATTAGATTATTTATTAATTTTCCTTCGACTTAGTCTCTTTACACATCAGGGATCGCCACAGCAGAATAAACTGCCAACTTATCCAGGGTATGTTTTACACAGCGCATGCCCTTCCAGCTGCAACCCAGTACTGGAAAACATCTATATGCACTCATACACTATGGAAAATTCATTTTATTCAATTCACCTATACCGCATGTCTTTGGACTGTGGGGTAAACCAAAGCACCCGGAGAAAACCCATGCAAACACGGGGAGAACATGCAAACTCCACACAGAGACGTCAACTGACCCCTCATGGACTCAAACCAGTGACCTTCTTGTGTGAGGCTAACCACTGAGCCACCATGTTTCCCCATTAGATTATTTATTAAAGGTTAAAAGATAAAGATATTATTAAATATATATTTATATATTATTTATACAATGATGACCACATTTGATTGTTCAATTTCTTTACTTGAATACTATTAGACTCCTTAATGCACTAATCATAATGCACTGGTAAACTTTTACTTTTGCTCTGTCGTATTTGTAATTTATTATATTTCATGCCGATGCAATGCATAAAAATCTTCACGGTAGATCTAAATTAATTAAATCTTTCCAAAGAGAGATATTCTGATTATCTGGTGAAATTATATTCATATCGCAATATACATTGCAGCAAAACAAAATAGCGTTTCCAATATCATACAACCCTGTTGTGTAAAGTTAAACGGTTAGTTCATCGTGAAATTATTTATTCATTCATTTTCTTTTCGCCTTAGTCCATTTACTAATACGGGGTCAACACAGCGGAATGAACCGGCAACTTATCCAGCACGTTTTTTTACGCAGCAGATGCCCCTCTAGCTGCAACCCATCTCTGGGAAACATCCACACACACTCATTCACACTCATACACTACGAACAATTTAGCCTAACTAATTCACCTGTACCGCATGTCTTTGGACTGCGGGGGAAACTGAAGCACCCTGAGGAAACTCACACGAACGCAGGGAGAACATGCAAACTCCACACAGAAACACCAACTGACCCAGATGAGGCTGGAACCAGCGACCTTCTTGCTGTGAGGTGACAGCACTGCCTACTGCGCCACTGCGTCGCCATCGCGAAATTAAATGTACTATAGTTATTATTTACTGTATTATTAATGTAGGTGACTGTAAGTCTGTTGTATTTACCCAGTCTGATCTCTTAAGGAAAAATAACTATTTTACATTTTGTCCGTTAAGTGTTTAATTCCTTCAAAGTTTAGGTTCAGTTGTAAGTAAAATGTATGATTTTTAAAATGAGACGTGGCACCAAACCCCATCCTTCAATCCAACCATCATTGGGAGATGAGCAAATTATACTAAAATGTACGAATGAGAAATCAAAATCAAGAAGTTACAAATTGAGATAGCAAGTAATTTATTCTTGTTTTTGTCTCTGTTTTGTTCTTTTTTTTATATATATATAAATTTTCGGTAGGGGTATTGATAGAAATTGCAGTCAATTGACATTTTCTTTAATATCAAAGTCAGTTGACATTATTTCTTTAAAATGTATTTCTTCTTTAGCTGAATCCATGGTTCGTGGTGATTTGTATAATGCAAGTCAACAGTCACCTGTTTCTGAGATTAAAAATAAGCACATACAAACAAGTCAAAATCAGTCCCTGTGTTTCCTGATGATAAACCGAGGTCTTATTAAGTAATCTTATTCAATTTCTTGCACAGACTAATCGTTTCACTTTATAAGATTTCAGTGTATTATCAGCCACAGGATGATTTGATTCTGACTTGATGCTTGTGTGCTTGTGTATTTTTTATCCTAAAAATGAGTGACCATGAGCATTAGTTGACTCAGTCGTTAGCACTGTCGCCTCACAGAAAGAAGGTCACTGGTTCGAGTCCCGGCTGGGCCAGTTGGCATTTCTGTGTGGTGTTTGCATGTTCTCCCCATGTGGGTTTCCTCCGGGTACTCCGGTTACCCCCACAGTCCAAAGACATGCGGTACAGGTGAACTACATAAACTAAATTGGCCATAGTCTATGTGGGTGAATGAGTGTGTATGGATGTTTTCCAGTACTGGTTTGCAGCTGGAAAGGCATCCGCTGCGTAAAACATATGCTGCACAAGTTGGCAGTTCATTCCACTGTGGAGACCCCTGATGTATAAAGAGTTTAAGCTGAAGGAAATTTAATGAATGAAGGGAAGTAAATGGCTGCTGCTTTCCAACATTCTTCAAAGTATCTTCCTTTGTGTTCAACAGAAGAAATAAATGAATTCAAAACAAGTGGATAAGTAAATTGTGACAGTATTCTCAGATTTGGGTGAACTATGCCTTTAAACTTTTGTTTATTGTAGATGCTATTGTAGTTATGGCTATAATTATCATTCTTGGCCTTTAAGAAACTAAAAATCGAAAACGAAAAAGTTGTGTGACATATACTATAAAATTATGTAAGGCAAAGATTATAAACTCATTAAACTCATCTGCATTGAATAATATTGTACTTGCAGTAAGTGTACACATTCCTAACCTAACCTTGAACATAAATTCTCTGAAATTCAAGAAACAAGTGGGAAAAAAACTCTACAGAATACTCTTTGTGGCACCACTTAACATCCGATGTAAAACCAGTGGAGCGACACCGCTCTCTACCACACAGGGCTGCCAAACATGTGCACTGACCCATAACTGGAGGGGGTAGGGGTGTCGGGAGGGGTTAATCTGTACTAGCGGAGCAGGTTGAGTTTGTAATCAATGCATACTCCTCTAATAACAGCTTCTCTCTCACGAGCACACTTTCAAAGCGGTTTCAACCGTGACCCACCCTCGAGCAGGTTAATTTAAAGCTAAAGATCTGACCTGCTACTCACTCTCCATCTTAAAACAAACTTTGTTTACACATTCTTTGCCCTCAATGCAGTTAAAGGCAGAGCAGGCATGCTATTACACGGAAGCTCAACTTTGCCCACCGCCTCAGTGATTAGAGTCCCCCCGCCTGCAGGCTTCAGCACATCAGCTGGGGAAACGTGCGAGCAGAAATGAACAACAGAGGTCTTCTCGCTTGACACCGCAACATCTACATCAGCGAGAACTGCCTGTGCAAACTTACAATATGGTCAATTAAAAGTGGTTGTAAAACATAGTGCACTTAAAGATTTACCTCATCCAAAAGTTTTCATTTAGTTAATGAACACAAAAGAATATATTTTAAGAAATGCTGATTTCTGGGAATTCAATAGTATTTTCCCCCACTTTTATTTTATCTATTATGAAAGTCAATGGATCCCAGCAACCAACATTCCTCAAAATATATTATTTTGCATTCAACTGAAGAAAGACAACTCATGATGGAGATGAAATAATGAGGTAATTTAAATTTTGTGGCTGTCCTATAGCTTTAATTGTACCGAATGTGCACTTGCAGTGTGTTTTAATCCTTAAATGGGTGTTTAAAATGTAACATTAATATTCATGGGGGTGCGCTTTAAGAGTGTTTCATGTTAAACATGTTATTTAAGTATCTAAATAAATGACACACTTTTCCCTGGAAATAACCTTGAAGTATATTTTAGTTAACCATTAATCCTTGCCAGTTCCTTCAGCAGTACATTTAACTAAAGCTCATAGATAACTACACTGTAAAACCCAACAGTCAAATTTATCAAATGAAATTAGTGTAAACCTCAAAATTTACTGAAAGTTAATTTTACTTATTTGAAAAGAGTTGTGTTGAAGGTAGTGAGTTCATTAAATACCTCATTACTTCAACTTAAATGGAGTAAGTTCACACTACTCATGTAAATTAGTTTTTTTTTTTTTAAACTCAAATGGTTTGTAGCAATCTGTTTCTTCAAACGGTTTGAGTTGACTTAACTTAGTGGGTTTTACAGGACTCAGTTGGTTTGAGTTCTATTTATTTATTGGGTTTTACTGTTCTCAAATTGCTTTGTTTACTCAAAGGCACTCATTAGAATTCATTTTTGAACTTAAATGGTTTGTTGCAATTGGTTTCCTCAAACCATTTGAGATTGCTACAAACCATTTTAGTTAAAAAAAATAACCTAGATGATTACTGTGAACTTACTTCGTTTAAGTTGAAGTAATGAGGTATTTAATTAACTCATTACTTTCAACACAACTCTTTTCAAATAAGTAGAATTAACTTTCAGAAAGTTTTGAGTTAACTACACTCATTTCATTTGATAAAGTTGACTGTTGGGTTTTACAGTGCATGTGAAATCCTGAAGCAGAAGCACTTGTGACCACTGATCAAGATCAATGGCACATGTGCCTAATAAAAGCATCACTGAATTGATTGAAACCAACATGCATCACTAATCCAGTGATTGTAAAAAGGATGCTTTTTTATCCAAACCCAGTGTGTAACATTCCCTGTTTGTTCCAGAAGGAAAAGGGTGGGGTAAAGTAAACACTGTATAGCTGCTAAACCAAATAAACACAAGAATACTTCTAGAACAAACTTGCTCTCAAACTATTCTTTTTTTTTTTTGCATATTCATCATTCTTGATGTCTTCAAATTCCTGCATCTTTAGATTCTGGATATATTCTCTCAGTACTTCCACACACAAAGAGGTTCAAATATGATTTCAGGCTTTAAAAAAGGGCAGTGTTTAACTTGAAACCGATAGCCTAAAGTCTCCACAAAAGTAAGGCTCTTGTTCTTTGTGGCTGGAGTTTTAGATCTTCATGCTGCGCTCAGATCCAGTCTGTCTCTGGGTGTTTGGCAGAGCCTGACTGAACTCTCATCTGCTCCACACAGGGACAATCTCCAATTTTAGGATTGACAGTATAAACATGAACTAGTACCCCCTAACAGCTATTACAAGACAAACTAATGACAGAATATCTGCCAGGACAATGAATAGACCAATATTTGCTGACTGACCCCACATGAAAAAATACTATACTGTTTTTTGAACCATATAGTTAAGTACTTGATTTAACCTTGGTAAATGGTAATACAACAACTATAGTAATTTAAACAAATCATCTGTAATTTTCTACAACTATGTGGTATGTTACACTAAAATATACCACAGATTACTGTAGTAGAAGCTGAGTTTATCGGTTAACTACAGTTAACTAGGCATAGTTCATCAAAAAAATGGTTTCAAAAACACCAGTATTTACAATAAATCATTATTGTATTTTTAATTATAACAAATAATCATTAAAAACTAAATATAATAAGTCTTTAAGTTTCAAGGTCTTTCAAAAGACATTTAACGAAACGTGTCCTTTGTTCTTGTGTGTGTGGGCTCAGATTATCTTAGATAGATAAGATTATGCACTGTAACTCCTGAGGCTGCAGAGCTTAGTCTTGACGCGAAGACAATGACCTCAAGACACGAGCACGTGCACTTCTATCAGCCATTCTGCAAAAATAGCTAACACAGACTCTACTTTTGTCTGCATAATTAATCACTTACTCTCAGAGTCGCTGATGCCGCTGTCACTGACGCTCGCGCTGCTCCGTCTCTTCATAGTTTTCAAATGCTCGTCGTATCTGAAGTGTCTCTTCTCCACGGGGGACGTGAAATCCTCAATGACAGCGTCGAATTCACACAATACGGCGTTGAGGTCGTCATCATCCTCGAGAAATGCTGGATAATACACGCAAAAGTTGTTATAGCCGAGGAAAAATCATAATTTAAGGGATAGTTCACTCAAATATGAACTCACAACCTTGAAGTGTTAATCTATAAACTTTTATGAGTTGCGTTTTTTTTATTGAAAAAAAGATGAATTCCTGTAAGCATCGACTATAAAACAATCAAATACAATGGAAGTAAATAGTTACAGGTTTTCAGCATTCTTCAAAATATATTGTTTGGTGTTCAACAGGAGAACGAAACTAATAGAGGTTTAAAACAAGTAGAGTGAGTAAATGTTGAAAGAATTTTACATTTTTGATAAACTACCTCTTAAGATTATATCACACCTACCTATATAATTTAATAGGCTATACATCCTAACAGTAGGCTAATACGTACTTTTAAATACTTACATTTGCTCTGTGACTTCATCTTTGGAGACTTCATTTCTATACTCCGTTAGTGTCCAATTAGGAAATATCCGATATAATATAAAACTCCTTCTGCTTTTCCTTGTTAAATTCACACCGTGTCCGTGTCTGAGCTCTTTAGCGCACACACTGCGGTGTGTGGGGTTGTTTTAAATATTACCCGGCTCCGGGAGGAGGCGGTGACTGACGGAGGCGTGTCGGACGTGGGGAAACGCCACCGCCAATGAGGCGCTCACGCCCGTTTTAGCCCTCCGGGTGGGTTTCACGGACTGGCGTCATTCCCCCCCTGAAGTATGTGTTTGTAAACAGCTACGATGACACATGCACATGAGTGCTGCTTTATTTTTAAACATAACTCTATCCTTGTTTATCTTGCGTTCATTTTGTGATGACAATTATTTTACCAGCAATAGGCTAATAATGTTACTTACAGTAAAGGTGCTAAGTGTAATGCAATATGGTAGCCTATATAAAAAGTCGCATTACAACACAAAAAGACCCCCGTCATGTCCACATAAATGAATGTGTCCGCATATTTGTTAAAAGTATATAGGCAACTAGATTAAAAAATTATACTTTGTTTCATGATGAATGAAATGTTAAGAGAGAATTTGACAGGAAGAATCAGTAAACTCAAAAGCACATAAATATTAAAAGACGTTACATAAAAAAAATAAATAAAATAATATATATATATATATATATATATATATATATAAGCCAGTAAGTTACTTTAGATTAAAGGAAATTGTTAACAGAAACAAGAAAACAAAATATATATAAAAACAATCTTATGCAACCTAACTTTTTTTTAACATATCTTTTTTTTTTTTTTTTTTTATGTGTTACATTCAAAGTATCCAATTTCTGTGTCTAGTCTCATGTTGTCTTGCCTTTTATTGTCATTCATAAAACTGATGATCTGATCTAACTTTAGTTTTTGCAGACATCTGGTGGTGACTCTATGTATGCGCAGTCATTAAATTTGGTTCAGTTCTGGTACAGATTTTTTTTATTGACCATGTGGGTTCACATGCACAAGCCATTTCAGAAGTTTGTTGTTGGACCTGCATAACAGCTAGACAGATCAGCACTTTAGGAGTTCATGCCTTAGAAAAGAAAGAAATCGTTTACCAGACTGAACAACACACAAGTACTTATTCATACAACTTCAACCACAAGCAATTTCACAATAGGCCAGACGGTTCTATTCACTGGCCTAAGTGCCTGTGGTTGAAATCCAAATCCTGCTTGTTGTTATGTTTAGTGGGGGGTGTGGGATTTATCGCTTTAGAAAGAGTTCTTCACACCTTCGGCTCTGGAGTTAACAGGTAGACACATGGTAAAACAAGAGATGTGTTTGCAGCTGCACTTGCCTGCTGACTTTATAGTTTAAGTGAACAGGGAAGGTGTCAAAGACGACACATACCGTGTGAGAGGCTGAAAAATGTTCAGTTCACAAAATAAAAAGTTTACAGGGATATAATGGATGTTGTTAGTAGAAAAAAGACAAAAGATGGTGTTTAAACACCATTTTTTATTTTAAAGGGTATAAGATATTAAAGGGTAAGATATTATTTACTCAATATTAATTTACCCTCAAGTGGTTTTAAAAATGTATGAGATTTCTTTATTCTGTTGAACACAAAAGAAGATATTTTGAAGAATGCTGAAAATCTGTAACCACTGACTACTACAGTAGAAAAAGTAAGTGGTTCATTCATTCATTTTCTTGTCGGCTTGGGCCCTTTATTAATATGGGGTCGCCACAGTGGAATGAACCGCCAACTTATTCAGAATAGGTTTTAATTTTTTTAATCTATGTTATTTTGTGTTCAACAGAATAATAAATGTTTAGATCAAGAAAAGGGGCAAATGGAAGTAAATGTTGACCGAATTTAAATTTTTGGTTGAACTATCCCTTTACGTTTTAAAGACAGCAATTAATAATGTAACCACACCTTTTTAACCATTTATTGGGTTTGTATTAATTTTCAGAGAGTATTTCCTTTGATATATATATAACCCTGGAATGTTATTTCATGTTAGCTCAGAACTTATAAATGATACAACAAAATGCTAATTTTGATTATGTGTTAGTAAATGCTGAAATTAGGAAATTAGTTTAAATTATCTCTAATTCATAATTAGCTCTTGAAGTCATTAGCCAAGGGTTCCCATACCAAGCATTGTATTCAAGGGTTTTCCACCATGCATTGTAAATGTTTCATGTTGTGTTCAATAAAAAGCACTTTTTTATTTTGCAACGTAGATGCAGATTAAAACACATTCTATTCAAATTTCTGCAGAAATCTAAGTAATTCCAAAGGATTCACATACCTTTTCTTGCAACTATAATATATATATATATATATATATATATATATATATATATATATATATATATATATATATATATATATATATATATATATATATATATATGTGTGTGTGTGTGTGTGTGTGTGTGTGTGTGTGTGTGTGTGCGTGTAGGTATGTATGTAGTATATATAACAGTCATTCATTCATTTTCCTTCGACTTAGTCCCTTTATTCATTTGGGGTTCCTACTTGCTACAGCGAAATGAATCGGCCACTTATCCAGCATGTTTTACACAGTGGATGCCCTTCCAGCTGCAACCCAGTACTGAAAAAAACACACACTAATTCACACACATACACTATGGCGAATTTAGTTTACTAAATTCACCTGTACCACCTGTCTTTGGACTATGGGGGAAACCAGAGCACACAAAGGAAACCCACACCAACATGTGGAGAATATGCAAACTCCACACAGAAATGCCAACTGACCCAGCCAGGATTTGAACCAGAGATCTTTTTGCTGTGAGGAGACAGGGCTAACCAATGAGCCAGCATGTCGCCCGTATATCTCAATGTTATTTTATGTAAAAAAAAAAATACAAATAATGAATTTTGAGTATTTGCAAGTAAATGTTGAACAGCATTGGTAAATGATTTTGTCTTAATTTTATGTTAAAATATAGTTAACTAACATTAACAAATAAATCTTAAAGTAAAATGTTACCAAAAAACTAAAACTGTCTCCCTGTGGTTTTGAAGTGACAAAATGTAATAATTCGCAGGTCTTTGCCAAGATTATCCAATATGCAGCACCCTTTGATGATTATATTTTTATTCAGTTGAAGTTAGAATTACAAGCCACCCTTTGAATTTTTTTTTCTTTTTAAATATTTCCCAAATTATGTTTAACAGAACAAGGACATTTTCACAGCATGTCTAATAATATTTTTTATTTCGGAGAAAGTCTTACTTGTTTTATTTCAGCTAAGTTAAATGCAGTTTAAATTTTTTTATAAACCATTTTAAGGTCAATAATATTAGCCCCTGTAAGTTCTTTTTTATTCGATAGTCTACAGAACAAACCTAATTACCCTAACCTGCCTAGTTAACCTAATTGATCTAGTAAAGCCTTTAAATGTCACTGTAATCTGTATAGAAGTGTCTATATAAACATCTAGTAAAAACATCTAGTAATTTTTAACAGTAAATTTACTGTCATCATGGCAAAGATAAATTAAGTCAGTTATTAGAAATGAGTTATTAAAACTATTATGTTTGGAAATGTGTTGAAAAACTATTCTCTCCATTAAACAGAAATTGGGCAAAAAGTTATTTAGCGGTGGGGCTAATAAAGAATTTTTTTAAGTTGCAAAACATATACAGTTGATGTTCACAACAAATAGCTTGATAATTATTTCACCTAAACTCTGCTAATTCATTCGTAAATAAATTGTTCATTAAACAGTACATTTATTCATTAAAAAGTTAATTTGATCCAAGTGGTATGATATTTTATCAAGATTTAGGCAGCAGGGTAACAACGCTTTTTTTTTAGTTGAGTATATAGTCTGATATATAGAAATTGTTTTTACAGTGTAGATAAAGATTTTTTAATGGCAAAAAATAGCACCATTAGTCACCAATTACTATGTAAAATATATCATATGCTTCAGATAGGTTTACATCTCCCTGATTTTTCAGATTTTCCACTACTTTGGCTTTATATTTAAGTAAAGTTTTTTTTATAAACTAGTTTCGAGAGGATCACGTGCTTATGATTGCTTGCAGCCGGTCCTGCATTATTCAAATTATGATTCACCAATCAGATGATTCCTAAGCCACTATAAATACCCCAAGTTCCATATTACAGCCATCTTCGTTTTGAAGAATCCCCCCTTCCACCCCTACTTCTCCTCCTTTCCTAGATGGTTAGCACTGTTGCCTCACAGCAAGATCGTCACTGGTTCTAGTCCTTAACAAGCCAGCTGACGTTTCTGTGCGGAGTTTACACGTTCTCCCCATGCTCATGTGGGTTTCCCCCAGGTTCTCCGATTTTCTCCCACCGGCAAAAAACATGCAACCTTAAAGTTAATAAAGTTAATTGACTAATCCAAATCAGCACCATAGACATGCTCCTAGTAAATAGTTATCTCTAAAGAGCAGTCACTCTGTTCATTAGCTACTACAGCAGAGGCGTTCTCGAGATATACCTGAGCTCAAACTCCCCTCTCGCCTTGCAAACGGAAGGGAGCCCCGGGCTTGAGATTACTATATGAGCTCAGGGATCTCTCCTGGGACAGCATGCCAAACAAGCTTTATAAACAATCATCATCTAAGTGTGAACTCTTGAAACTATATACATTGACATATTTGTTTGAACGATTCATTGACCAATCACAACTGCAGTAGGATATACTGGTTATCAAAATTCTTTTTATTGCACATTTGATCTCCATATTCACTTCAAAGCACATCTGAGAGTTAATGATAACACATGTCTCATTTCTCTCAAGTACAATAATATGACGCCAAATATCCAAGACAAAGTTTAGACGTGATACAATCTCAATTTAAAGTGCAATATAGTACTTTTTCTGTTGGTCATAACCAAAACAAATAGTTAGACCAAGCGTTTGAGATGCGTTTGAATACTTACTGTAGCCTGAAATTCCTTCTAAAATACATAAAACATCATAAAATGTTTACGGTTTCAGAGCATGTCGCAATTGTGTCAACCCCAAGATTCCAGTTTAGATCCTGATTGGATGTCTGCTTGCTCATCAATTGAGTCAATGCATATAAATAAGAATTGTTGTGCTAGCTTATATGAAAGACGTTGTGGCTACTTGTCCTCGTGTCAAGACCATCTATTTCATTCAGTAACCTTATGGTTTTTCATTCATTTTCTTGTCGGCTTAGTTCCTTTATTAATCCGGGTTCGCCACAGCGGAATGAACTGCCAACTTATCCAGCAAGTTTTTACGCAGCGGATGCCCTTCCAGCCGCAACCCATCTCTGGGAATCATCCAAACACACATTCACACACACACTTACACAACGGACAATTTAGCCAACCCAATTCACCTGTACCGCATGTCTTTGGACAGTGGGGGAAACAGGAGCACCCGGAGGAAACCCACGCGAATACAGGGAGAAGATGCAAACTCCACACAGAAACGCCAACTGAGTCGAACCAGCGACCCAGCGACCTTCTTGCTGCGAGGCGACAGCACTACCTACTGCTCCACTGCTTCGCACCATGGTTTTGTTATAGCATTATTTATATCATGTAGTTAAAGTTAGTTGTGATTATATTTTCGGTTCTTTATTTATCCCTAGACATTTGTTTGTTTTGCTTGATTTGTTGTAGTTCTATTTATAATAAGTAATTTGCATCCAGCTCATTTTGTTGTCTGATTTCTCTTATGTTGTGACTTAAACGAGGGAGTCGTAACGCAATGTTTTGTAAACGTATCATATTAATGCTGGAATAAGATAAAAGGGTGCACTGTAAAACCCAAACAGTTAAGGTAACTCAAACCGTTTGAGGAAACCGATTGCAACAAACCGTTTAAGTTCAAAAACTTTTCCTAATGAGTATTGTGAACTTAATCCATTTGAGTAAATGAAGCAATTTGAGCACAGTAAAACTCAATAAATGAAGAGAACTCCAACTGAGTACTGTAAAACCGAATATGTTTAAAGGCAACTCAAACCCTTTGAGGAAACTGATTGCTACAAAAATCTGAGTTCAAAAAACTAATCTATATGAGTACTGTGAACTTACTCCATTAAAGTAATGAAGTATTTATTGGAACTCATTACCTTCAACACTGAGTTCAAAACTCTTTTCAAACGAATAGAATTAACTTTCAGTCAATTTTGAGTTCACTTCACTCATTTAATTTAATAAAGTTGACTGTTGGGTTTTACAGTGTGTGAAATATAGCATTTCCCCTCCTATACCTTTTATTTCATATACGAACGCTTTGACAGTGCTGCCCACTAGTGTTCACATGGAATAGTTCAACCAAATTTGAAACTTCCTTCACTATTTATTGACCCTCCAATGATTCTAAAGCAAAAGAAACAAGTTTGACAAGTAAACAATGGCCCTTTTTTTTTTGGGTGAACTATCCCTTTAAGTTACTCATTACACCAGCGTCTCGCAAGGTTTAATTATAGATCAAGTTTGCATACAATTCTTAAGTAGCAGAAGTTTTGTGCAAAGTAAACATAATAGCAAGTGATATGCATCCACAAATATAAAATACCAGCTCAGAATAATGATGGTCAGACATGCCCCAGATTGCATACCGTTGCATTATCATAGCAACCGACTGAAGAACATTGTAACAACATGCAGGCTGTGAGGATCATAACAGTGAGGTCTCCAAGGCATTGAGCTTGTTTCAGTAAATAATAAAATGCATTAATAAGATATAGGCAGGTTTTTCCTGATACAACAAAACGTCACTTGCTTCATAACATGTGGAATCAAATGGAATAACAAACAAAATGCCACAAAAAATGCCCATATGATCCATAAATTAGGCCATTAAATTCCACTTAGATACAAACATAAATCCTAAAGAGTTATTTTAAAGGGGCAGTTCACACAAAACTTAAAATTTACAATTTAATTTGCCTCAAGTACTTTTTCCCCCCCAGTTGAACACAAAAGAAGATACTTTGAAAAAATGTTGGTAACAATTGACTTCCATAGTAGGAAAAGCAAATACTATGGAAGTCGGCTGTTTACAAGATTTTATTATTTCTCAAAATATGTGCTTTTTTTGTGTGACAAGTCAAACAATTTTGAGTAAACTATCCCTTTAAACTGCATAACTTCCAATTAGTCATGAAATATTGCATGGGCCAAAGTGTATTAGCAATAACAGGGTGTCTTCTCCTCCTGTTCAGCAGCGAGCTGTATAAAGTTACTCTCGCTAGGCTGTTTCAGTCTCAACGGCTTGTGATTCTTCAGCCTGTAGGCCAACGTGAGGAAAATGGCATCTACGTGCTCTTTTTCTGCAAGGTCTCTTGCAGACGTCTCAAAAAGGGGAAAGTTATAGCTATCAGCCAGTCGCTGAGCTAAAAATGTAGATACTTCTCTGCTTTCTCTTAAGTCACATTTGTTCCCAACTAGGATGCGGGGGACCATGGGAGGAACTGAGTGATGGTTGCACTCCTCAATCCACTCCGGCAGACTCTCAAATGAAGCCAGACTGGTCACATCGTAGACGAAGATGATGGCATGGACATTTCGGTAGTAATGCTCCACCATACTCTTCCTGAAACGCTCCTGACCAGCCGTGTCCCAGATCTGCAACTGAGAATGACAATGCAATTTGCTTTAAATATATGTTGGATAACAGTGGTGTAAAATAAGACCAGATCTCAATAGGACTGTGCAATATGGCGATATACAGTTTAGGTCAGAATTATTAGTCTCCCTGAATTATTAGCCCTCGTTTATTTTTCCCCAATAGGGTATATGCCGAACCATGCTAATGGGACTTTTAACTTGCCAGTAACCTTGGTTAAGCGCTTCAGGTGAACTGTATGCCAATGCAAAAACCGGCACGTTTAAGGTCAGCGATCTCCACTAGCTGAGTGATATCCGAAAAAAAGTGGGTCCCAGATTGTACAAGAAGCACTGCATTAAATTACATTTCTCCCCGCCATGTCTTTATAATATAAGCATTTATTTTACCCCAGTATATTCAATAGCGCTTCTGCGCTCGCCTACCGATTCTAACGGGCGCGTGCGAGTAAACGGCTTTTTGTCTTGTTTTACCCTTGAGCAACTAAATAAATGCCAAAGTGTCCTTAACTGAATGTATTTTAATGACATTACAACATCGATGCTGTAAAAAGAACCGAAAAAAATGAAAAAAAGTTCACAATAACAGGTCACCGGAAGTTTATCAGTATGGGAAAAACCCTAGCTCGGCATATACCCTATTTCTGTTAAACAAAGTAGATTTTTGTTTAAGATATTTTATCTTTGACACGATGACAGTCATTAATATTTGACTAGATACTTTCAAGACACTTCTATACAGCTTAAAGTGACATTTAAAGGCTTAACTAGGTTAATTAGGTTAACTAGGCAGGTTAGGGCAAGTATATCGATGGTTCTGTAGACTTGGGGTCAGTTCTTTGTACGTGGATTACACAATTAGCTCGATGTATATATTCTTTTATATATTTTTTTTCTAAAAAGAAAAGAATATATACATTATATATATATATATATATATATATATATATATATATATATATATATATATATATATATATATATTTATATTCTTTTATATATTTTTTTTCTAAAAAGAAAAGAATATATATATATATAGTTGAAGTCAGAATTATCAGCCCCCCCTTTGAATTTTATTTTCTTTTTTGAATATTTCCCAAATGATGTTTAACAGAGCAAGGACATTTTCACAGTATGTCTGATAATATTTTTTCTTCTGCAGAAAGTCTAATTTGACTTATTTCAGCTAGAATAAAAGCAATTTTTATTTTTTTAAACACCATTTTAAGGACAAATTATTAGCCCCTTTAAGCTATATATTTTTTTCGATAGTCTACAGAAACATTGTTATGCAATAACTTGCCTAATTCGTCTTACCTGCCTAGTTAACCTAATAAACCTAGTTACACTTTTATACACACACACACACACACACACACACACACACACACACACACACGCGCGCGCGCGCGCACACACACACACACACACACACACACACACACATATATCTGTGTTCATAATTGTGTTCTACGTCTTTACACTAATAATAAGGCTTTATCTCAAGAGTTTTGAGACCTAACGTTAGGCTTTATCTCAAGAGTTTTGAGATCAAAGTCCTATTGTTCACGTGTAACCGGATTTGATGTGACATTGTTTTTTAATATAAGCTTTTGTTTTTAATGTACTATTTAACTGTAATTATATACATTTAAATTTACTTTAAAGAAATGTGGTGTTTGACCACAGCTGAATGGACTCGTAACAGTAAACAACACACCCATTTTTAAGGAAACTCACGTAAATACACCCATGTAATGAACAGTGCTTTTTGAAGATTTTGCAAATATTTACCTTTATGTTTTCCCCATCAAGTTGCAGGGTCCTCTCTCTGAAATCTACACCAATTGTTGCCTCGGGATTGCTGAGAAATTTACCACCGCAAAACCGGTACGTTAGGCAGGTTTTTCCAACATTTGAATCCCCAATGACTATTATCTTAAAGACCCTCGCCTGAGGACCATCATATTCCTGACACGAGTCATTCGCGAGACTCTCTCTGGTGTAAATCGTCGCGAATTCATTGCTGCCCGTTGTGTTTTCTATTGCCATAGCTCAAATACTCGTGAATTATCGCGAGAGGATAAGAACGCGAGCTTGACGTGAACTCCTGTGACCTCTGGCTTGTAGCCTCATTCACCGTTATTGAAAACAATGACAATGAAAGAAAACGATTAGTAAACTTATGTAAAGTAAAAACACTTAATAAACAGAAGCAAACATATAAATTACATAACTTATGCGACATAATTTATTGACAATTTCAACATTAAACAACAGTAAATGAGAAACAAAGCAAAACACACACAAACATGTAAAATCAGGGTAACTTAGGTACAAAACTAAACACAGAATCACGGGTTTTAGCATACTTGAATGGTTCAGAAATGCCCAAAAGCTGTTTTAAAAACATAGAAAACGGTCCATCTTAACAGAAAGCTATATGTATCTAAAATATTTAAAGGTGTATTCACATTCTGCCAAGACAATTTGGACCCTATATAAGCACAACCATTGGGACCCTTCAAATCAAAACTTTAAAATATTTTTCTGACCTGTGAGACTGAAAATAGCACAACTTTACCCTGTTTAAGGTTCCAATGTATTACTGCACTGTAAAATATGAAAAAGTTGCCTTTAGCTCATGATTCAGTGGGTGTTTTCACTGTTTGGCATTCAAATTGCATTATGGGATCTTGATGCTGAAAGTTCGCTTGTTAAGTCATGATGTATCTATGACATATGAAATACTGTTTCCGGGTCCAAGCCACTACTCATTTGAATTATTTGAAATATTTGTTTATGACCACTTTTTAGTAAAATCACACATTAAACACAACAGTCTCCAGACATGATGCTTCGCAAACACCAATATGTTAACAATTTCGAAAAAAATTAATCACTTTCTGGCCAGGGAATACTAGGCACACACACACACGCACGCACACGCACGCACGCACGCACGCACGCACGCACGCACGCACGCACGCACGCACGCACACACACACACACACACACACACACACACACACACACACACACATATGGCAAACGTGAATTCTAAAAGTATTACAGCACTTTGTAAATGATTATTAAGACCAGTTGATGAGTCTCCCCATACAGTTTAATATAGTGCTTGGACCCGGGAGCCACTTCGCATGAAGTCACACTTAATAAGCGAATTGACATTTTAGTAGTTTGAAATTAAGTTATGCAAATTATGGCAAAAAAAAAAAGATTAAACATTATATTAGCTTCACATTACAATTACACGTGAAACACATCAAATGTTTATCTTTGTTCGACTACATTTTAGTGCCACAATAATTTATTTTTAAAAATCTAAAGTTACGAGATTAAAGTTTCAATATATCAAGAATAATGTCCGGAACATTTATCAACTTTTCTCTCACGTTAATTTTTTTTCACTTATTATGAACTGCAAGTATTCTTTGTTGTATGGAATTATTTCTATAATTCAAATTTTTTATACAATATACAATTTAAAACTACTAAACTGTCAAACAAAATCACTTATATTTTCAACATCCAAGAATATCTGAGCATATACAAAGGCTCTACAATGCAATTCAAGTGCATAATAAACACACATGAATCACAGGTTACTGCAAATATTAATTAACAGTTTTTCTTTGCTCTATATTTATGACCCAGAGAGACAACATACAAATATTCTTTGTACCAATTTATAATCCTGAGACAATGTTTCATTCACTGGCCAGAAGGTAAGCATTTGTTAAATAATACTCAACGTACAAACAGCATAAATTTCAAGTAGGCTTTACCCTGGCTGCTGTGGGGTGACCCACATCTCAAACCAGGCTAATAGTTTTAACACTTTTATCTCAAAATACTCTGCAGCATGTTTGCATTTGGCTCTATTATGCACAGTTCTAAGCTGGACACTGTGGTTACTGTGAGAGGTGTCCAACACAGGCTCACTGGAAACACGTACTTCAGCCTACATTTTTGTGATATCGCAAAAAAATTATTTAAACATACAGTTGAAGTCAGAATTATTAGCACCCTTGAATTATTAGTTCCCCAGTTTATTTTTTTCCCTAATTTCTGTTTAATGGAGAGAAGATTTCTTCAACACATTTCTAAACATAATAGTTTTAATACATTTTATCTTTGCCATGATGACAGTAAATAATATTTGACTAAATATTTTTCAAGACAATTCTATACAGCTTAAAGTTACATTTAAAGGCTTAACTAGGTTAATGAGGTTAACTAGGCAGTTTAGGGTAATTAGGCAAGTTATTGCATAATGATGGTTTGTTCTTTAGATGGAAAAAACTATAGCTTAATGGGGCTAATAATTTTGACCTTAAAATATTTTTAAAAATAAAATCTGCTTTTATTCTAGCCTAAAAAAAAAAACAAGGCTTTTTCCAAAAGAAAAATGTTATCAGACATACTGTGAAAATGCCCTTCTTCTGTTAAACATCATTTAGGAAATAAAAAAAATAATAATAATTTCAAAGGAGGTTTAATAATTCTGATTTCAACTAAACATTTGACAGAAGATTCTAAGTCAAATTAATGCTACAGGAAAGTATGACAGCAACATTTGCAATTTTCTCTTATGTTTGCATTTGAAAACATTATTGGTTGGGTTTAGGTCAGTGGTTCACTGGTTTAAATCAGTGGTTCCCAAAGTGGCATTCGGGACACTCAGTATCAGGACACAATAGGACCATGACAAAGGTTTGCTTTATGATTTCCAAAACACAAATAAATTTTATTAAACTATTTGAATTAACATATTTTATTTATAACCCACAGAAAATAGTAAATAGTTACGTTAAAGAAACTAAAACAAACTACAAATAAAAATCCATCAGCCTTTATTTTTTTTAAATTAATATTAAATTAAAATAATAAATGACTATAAAACCTATACGGTAATTAGACTTGCATTTTTGTGTTTTTAATATACATTTATATATGCCTAGAGTTGCGTGTGCATGTTTGTAAAATTACAGTATAACCACCTTGAAAATTGAGGGTCGCGGGTCACTGACATTTTTATTTTGTGGGTAATATTTTGAAAAGTTTGGGAACCCCTGGTTTAGATGATCTGGACGACAAGCCCTGCCTTATTGTGGGAGTGTACAAAAATGATGTGTATCTGAAACATACAATGAAAAGTATGTCAGTAGCATGCATACTTTTAGCATAAAAATATGCTAAAAGTAGCATATTTCAGATTCGCAAAAAATGTACACAGTGCCATCTAGTGGATTTGTCATCTAAAATGAGTAATGACACATACCAACCAACATATTTTACATTTCACAAAAATATAGGCATTTCCAGTGAGCCTGGGCTGAAAACTACCAGTTCTCATCCGAAAAAGAGCTTGAGCTGCCGGAGTCCGAGTCTGCGTCAGTCAGTCCATCAAAGTCCCAGTCAGCGCTGGAGCCGCTGTCGTCATCCTCCTCCAAAACAAATTTCCGACCAGACCCCAAACATGCAGTATACAACCGGGTGGAGAGACTTATGGATCCGAAGAAAGATCCTAAGAGGGTGGAAACATTTTTCCATGAGTCGCGAGTGGGATCATATTCATGTATAACAAGCCTGTTTTTGTTGTGATGAACAACTGCTATAGTTAAAAGCAGCAGTTTGCTGCTGTGTTGCACAACTTGATAGTTGAGAGCACAGCTGTCAATAGGAATGTCTCCGATCCGCCTCCATTCTCCACGAACTGGGTTATATGCTTTGACGACAGGAATATCGCACAAACAGATAATCTGCTCTTGGAAGACACAGGCATTGTGGAGTTTACTGCGCTTCAGAGAGGCCCGCTGGAGCCAGTGGTTTTTCTTTGGCTCGTAGCACAGCATCCTCCTCTTGTTTACCACATAAAGGCGTTCATTAACTGTCACAACCTGCATCTTTCCCAAAGAATGAGGCAAAGGGGCCACAAAAACCCACTGATTCCTTTGAATGCTGTAGCATTCTACTTCCTTAAGCCTGGCATCCGATACTGGATCTCTGCCACCCAAAATATACAGGTGTCCATTGAGGTAGCCGATGTAAGACTGCATTCTTCCAAGAAGTCTTTCTGCAAGCTCCTGCCAACAATCCAACAAGGGATTGTAGACCCAAAAGTGCTTGGACAGCTGTGAGGCGAGATACAGATTGTTTTCTGGTGTGGTGCAGACCAAAAAGGTCTCCATAGGGGAACGTTTGAAGTTCTGACTGGTGAGGTTAATGACCGGGGATGCCATGGAATAGATGTCCTCCACATAGGGGTCATAGCACATGATGGGTTGATTTGGCCGTCCGAGGAATAGCACCATTTCTTTTGCACTCTTGCCGATTCTTTGTTTAGCAGCATGTACACTCAGTGAAATTGTACCGCTCTGCTCACTGCAAGCCCCATCTAAAATATTGGAAAGATATTTCTTTATAAAAGGCTTTGATTTAAGGCCATCAAGATAAACCCTGTCTTTCTCTGAAAACAAAGACCACCGCACACATTTAAGGACCTGCAGCGCATCTTCTGAATTTTCATGTAAATTACTTTCAATCCACTGTACTGCGAATGAGCACACTTTACGCTCACAGTCAACATCCAAAGAATCCAGCATGAGGATCTCTTTAATCTGCCTCTGGTCCAGCTCACAAAGCTCTTTCACGCTGGCACCAAGCTGGACAAAGTTCTTTGCGATGAATGCCTGAGCTTCTCTCTTCAACTCCAGATTGTCAAAGGTGTCCGCAAACTTCAAAATCCCTGCACAGTTAGAAAGGTCCAGCCTTCTTGTCATGAAGTTAGCACAGGCTTGCCGGATGTACTCCAGCTGCAGCATGTTTGCAGCTGCATAAAGCCTCTGCACGTTGCTTTCAGTGATTGTCACTTTGCCAGTGTAGCAGTAATCAATTATGACCGCCATCGAATCGGCGTCCACGTCGTGAATGGTGACCTTTCTCTGCGTGCTCTCGTACAGTCCTCCTGTAAACATGCTCTTAAAATAAGGGCTCGCTGCTGCCAGTATATTCCTGCTACACTGAAACACTTTTCCAGCACCAGAGGAAACACTTCGCTCTGCTGTTTCGGTGTCAGGCTCCACTTCTATGGTCACGTCCACTAACAGCTGCGAGTCGTAGAATAATTTCATCTCTTTCATCAAACTTAGAGCGTGATTCGTGTCCTCAAGTTCCTCCGGACCACCGAAGCTGTTCACTGAAGCCATGTCGAGCTTGCTTTCTCCGTCCAAACGCAACTAAATCCCGTTGACGAAGGTGACATCAAATCTCCATCGGCTTTGCCGCTGTGATGATTTAAAACGTCATGAAAACAACAAGATGCGATCTGCTGGTGCTGCGTCTGTGTTGCATGAAAGCCCGCGCATGTTTTATGAATGAAACGCAGTCATTTTCGACTTTACTAATCGGGGCAAACTACATACACTGGCGATGTCAGTCCCGTTTAATTTCATATCGTTCGGCTTTTGATCTTGAGACATCGACGTTGTACGTCTCACTCAAACTTGCTACCCCTGAGCTGCAACATAGGGCGCTGATTGGTCACATCGGCCGCGGCTCATACATGTTAAGCTGCCTACATAGACAGCATTCAAGCGTAGGCTAGTGATAAAAAAGGCAGCCCTAGGCTGTGAGACCCAACAAAAGCCCGACAAGAAGGGAGCTCAGTAGGGTTTGAGACGTAGCCATTCTCTGGACTCTGTATTATGTTTGGTTGGCTTGATAAAGCTTTGTTCATTGACCTCAATAACAAAATATGCAATTAGTTTAAAATATTTGGCATATCTGACAAATATCAGACATATCATTTAAAATAACAGAATTAAAATCGATAACATCTTACATAGTGTATTGTTGTTGTTATTATTTGATCAATATTATTATTATTGTGTAAAAATATATATAAATAATATGTGTCCAATATTCTAATGTCTAAAATATGTTGTGCAATGCCATGCTAAAGTACTTAAACTGGTTGTCAATTATATATATATATATATATATATATATATATATATATATATAATTATTATTATTTTGACACTTAGCATGGCACTGCACAACACAACAAATTATATCACATACACTTAATATACAAATACATTGAACATGTACACAGACATAACTTATATACATAACTGCAGGTTAATTAGTAATTTGTAAGAAATATAATAAATAAGTACCAGAACTGGGTGTAACACGTTCCACCATAACGCATCACTATTCTAATTAGCCTACATCTTTGAGGAACGCAGTAATGTAACAAATTACATTTTACATTTGTGTATTTTGATTACAGTTACTAAAGTCAAGGTAATTGCGTTACTTATGTTACAATTATAGCTTTTAGAAGATAAAAATTATAAATGATAAAAATTATTTTAAACCCGTTTTTTCGCTGCAACTTAAATTACAGTTTTTCTCAGTAGTTTTGGTGCATTTCTTACAACACTATTTACATTTTCACAACAGGCCATGCATTTCTCAAAACATTTAGTCATTTGTGCACAAATTGCAAATGCTTTTGGACATGCATCAATTGCTTTCATACAACTCTCTGCTGTTTATAACATTATCATTTGCTTATGTCATGTCAGTCAAAATTAACTGAACTTGTGAATGCTGAATAGTCATTCCATATAAAACTAATAGTCCTCATTTCAGTACTTGAGTCATTACATACAAAAATGTTGAACTAGTTGTCAAAATCTGTCTAGCAAATTTTCTTAAATATTTTAAATCTTTTTTTTCCTGAAAATGTCTACTATTGAACAATTTGATGAATGATTTACAGACCTGTATATGTTGCAGGTTCAGTTCCAATGTGCACTGCAATATTGTTTACAATTGTGCACAGCTCTACCCAAAGGAAGTTTATGTTTGTTGTCAATAAGGCTGTATATATTCTTTTGCACAATGCTGTGAATAAATTAGAACTGCAAAGAGCATATGCAGTAAAAAATGTGAAGCATATTCAGTGTCTTGCAGATATCTCACTAAATGCAATGATGTCTAACTTTATTGTAGTTTTCAAATGGCTGTGTAAATAGTATATAGTGCTGTCTTGAGCATTTTTCGGAAGTGTCAAAAATATCTTTTTTGCATTGGAAAACATTAGTTTTCTCCATTGGTTTGACTCATTTCTTGAAACAGAAATTCAATTCTCAAAATTCTAAGATAATTTGGCAAAACAGTGTTACAGTTTTGCACAACACTATCTTGCTTGCAAAAGCTCATACCTTTCCCAAAACAGTTCACTCATGTGTCAAAACTAAATTTCCTTCTCATTTAAACAGCAGTGCCCCCAAAATGCTTCGTCCCTTTAGCATTATGTAAGCACTGCAAGTCAAAGTGTTTAGATTTTTTGTCATTATGGCACAGAACTACTAAAATATCCCTCATGTCCACCTTACAGTCTTAGTCCTGTCCTTCATTGACAATGGTTACTGTACTGTTTTTGCCGAGCTAACAGAATACAATTGTGTATAAAACTGAAAAAAAGAAATAGGATTTTAGGGTAAGAGGAGCCTCCAAGGTTTGACTTTCATATATCAGAGCAAAAAGAATAAATAGCTGTAATAAATTGTAATCAAATGTTCCAAAGATTCACCTACTGTATGGTATTCATGCTGTTATGGTCTTGACTAATTTTGACAATTGAACAGACTATTGTGCATGTAGTGACATGTACAATGAAATGACACTGACACATTTTGGAGAGAACAACCATTAGACTGAGAATTACCAATCAGTTTAGATCAACAAGAGCTATTCACTTGGAAATTGTGCTAAATGTAGGCTCTCTGTACTTAATCATTTGCAAAGAAGTACTTAGACATTTGCAATTTGATGAAATTAATGAGAAATTTAATTCTCTTGTAAACAATTACCAAGTGGTTTGGAGGTTTGTCCATGTTGTTTTAAGAATGTAATTTCTGTTTCAAGAAATGAGCCAAACCAATGGAGAAAAACTGTAACAGAGTAAACTGCCATAATGAAAACATGACAAAGCCATTTGACTATCTTGTTCATAAACAATGGTGTCAGGACTTTTCATCTTGATGACACTGACACTTTTATTGACATCAATACTTGCTTTTGAAGAATGGGCTATCCATTTTGAGCAATTAAGTGACACGCTTTTGCAGATTATCAACTAGGTTTTGCAGTTTGTACTAATTGTTTTAAGAAATGCATTTACTGTTGTGCAAATGTAAATAGTGTTGTGAGAAATCCACCAAAGCCACTGCCAAAAACTGTAATAAGCATGTACTTGAACAGAAAGCATTGTATATCAATACTCGTCTCCAAGGAGGACACAAAAACATGGCGGCCCAACTCAGCCTAAACAGGCTAAATTGGATTTTTGTGCAGGATCGGGAGTAAAGGTATCTTCTGAATGTGAAAAGAAGCGTGCTTGGGGCAGTTCACATCTAATCTTTTGCATCTGCACACATATTGGGAGCACATGTGTTGCTCACATTTTCCAGGCGCTCACAGATGAAAACTGCAAGTCACGTGACAAGAACTGACCAATCAGCTACATATTTTGTAGGGAATATACACATTTCAGTAGAATTACCTCAGACAAACAGAACACCAACACTGCATTGGTTTTTGATTCTATGGATGTCAATGGTTACAGGTATCCAGCTTTCTTCATGTCTTCTTTTGTATTCAAAAAAAGACAAACAGGTTTGTTTGGAACAAGTGAATGAGGAGAGAATTTTAAGTTTTGGGTGAAATCTTATAAATATGTTAAGCTGCTGTGATCAACCATTGTAATGTTTTTCAGTGAGTTTTTAATTACTGAAAGAGCTGCAGTTTATTTTGTATAGGTATATTATTTAGATGTTAACTTCAAAGTAATGTAATCAGAGAACAAATTTTCAGTAGTAATCAGTCATTTGTAATCGATTAATTTTTAAAAGTAACTTACCCAACACTGGTAACAACCTTCACTTTTCTAATTATTATGCAATAATGTGCACTTTTTGTAAAGCTGCTTTGACACAAAAAAATATTATGAAAAGTGCTATACAAATAAACTTGAATTGAATATCGCTTACTTAAATTCAGCTTTTTTCAATTCAGCTTTATTTGTATAGCGCTTTTACAATGTAGATTGTGTCAAAGCAGCTTCACATAAATGGTCATAGTAACTGGAACAGTGTGATTCAGGTTTTAGTGTTTAAGTTCAGTTTTGTTCAGTTTAGCTCAGTTCACTGTGATTTAATCATTACTGAGAGTTCAAACACTGAAGAGCAAATTCATCGATGCGTAGCTCTACCAATCCTGAACCATGCGAGGCAGTGGCGACAGCGGAGAGGGAAAAAAAACTTCACCTGATGGGAGTGAAGAAAAAAAACCTTGAGAGAACCAGACTCAGTTGGGCACGACCAATATAAATAAACAACCTGTTCCAACATATTGTGTAACCTCTGTCAAATGTCTTGTTTAATTCAAAGTCAGGAAGAAATAAAAGAATAAAATAATAATATTATTAAAATAAACAGTTGGTGGCATCACAGTGGTGCATTGGGTAGCACGATCGACTCACAGCAAGAGGGTCGCTGGTTTGAGCCCCGGCTGGGTCTGGCATTTTCTTTTTTTCTTTTCTTTTTTTTTTGTTTGTATAATAAATTTTAAAAGATTTAACATAAACCAAAAAAACAAACAAATGAACAAACAAATCAAAAGGCTTTTCACTATTTTACATCAGAATACAATATCACCTACAAATCTTTTAGTAAATCATTTCCAAATCCACCACCTTTTAAAAAAAGCATAAAAGGTCATCAAACTCTATCAAAAATTATATTTATTTCTTATCATACAAGTTATTATTTCCATTGTCATGTTTGTTACCATCTCTTTCAGCCAACAGCCTATAGTTGGTCCACATATACTTTTCCAACTTAAATAAGCTTGTAGAATACATATATTCATAAATATATGCTCTGTTTTTTTTAACTGGGTCTGGCATTTCTGTGTGCACTCTTAAAAGAAATGGATCTATATAGAGCCAAAAATGGTTCTATCAAGTGCTTCATATATGGAACCCCAAAAAGGTTCTAAATAGATCTATTTTAAGTGTTCATTAAATAAAAGACCAAATGTTTCTTTGAATTCAAGTTAGATGGTTCTATTTAGAACCATTAAGCGTTCTTTTTGATTTATTATTGAATTAATGTTATTTATTATTGAATAAAAAAAAAAATCCAAAACATTCAAATTGTTAAAATTTATATAAATTTTATTTAAACATTTATTTAAATTTATCTAATAATATTTAAAATGGCACCTCTGCATACTTTGCATTAGATCTACCTCTAAACTACCTTAACAATCTAAATCTAATAATTTCACTTTTTAATAAACTTTCATAAGCTTGTTTACTTGAAAAAATACAGTACTTAACTTTCACATCTTTAAAATTAAGAAAAATATATCACAATGCAGATAGAAACAGTACACAAACAGTTGAAACATCTATTAAATAACACTACAATTTCAACAAGATGATGGTACATAATGGTTATACATTTTTTTTAATGAAAGTCATTAAAGAAAGTGTTTAATGCTGCACAAGACATTGCAAAATAATTAGACAAAGCACAGCGAACAGCCATTCCACAACCTGTAGCATGTCCATGTCTGTCGGCCTCTTATAAGGTTAATAGTTCTGTCCATGGGTGGCACAGTGGCTCACTGGTTAGAACTGTCACTGCAAGAAGGTCACTGGTTTGAGTCCCAACTGGGTCAGTTGGCAGTTTTGTGTGGAGTTTGCAGGTTCTCCCAGTGTTCGTGTGGGTTTCCCTCAGGTGCTATAAGTGAACTGAATAATCTAAATTGGCCATAGTTTGTGTGTGAGAGTGTGTATGGGTGTTTCCCAGTGTTGAGTTGTGGCTGAAAGGGCATCTGCTGCTAAAAACTGCTTCATTCCACTGTGGCAACCCCAGATTTATAAAGACACTAAGCTGAAAAGAAAATGAATGAATGATTAAATAGTAGGCTAAACCCTCGGTTCTAGTTGATGTAAATATAATAGAAACTGTTTTGCCATCAGGAAGAGTATAGCTTTAGCAGCCTCAGCCTCCTCATTGACTATAAGAGCTGAACATAGCCTATTGAACTTTGGCTTACTACATTAAGACATCAAAGTTGCTTTACAGGAATCCACCAGAAGTGAAGGCCTTCACAGCATTTTAAATCTGTCTAATTTAACATTCAGATAATTATAAAACAAACAGGGGTGCTCAACCCTGTTCCTGAAGACCACCTTCTTGTAGATTCTAGCGGCACACCTAATCAGACACTCTTGAACTAATTAAATAGGATCTGAACTTGATATTAATTACAGGCAGGTGTGTTTGATCAGGGTTGGAGCTGAAATTTGAAGGAAAGTCATCTCCAGGAACAGGGTTGGTAGTGGTTTTTGAGTTTCTATCTGAGACTGACATCTAGTGGGCATTTATGGGCATGTTAATGGGCTTCTAGACAAACCGGTTTCGCACACGTCACCCATAACTAACCAGTTCGCACTTCGAGGAAACAGAAACTTCTGAAACTGTAATCTTGCTGTCTGTTTGTGTCTCCTTCTCAATTTTTATTCAGTAAAATGGCTGAAGCTCGAATTTTTCAGGATGAGTTCAATTGTCCGGTGTGTTTGGATTTACTTAACGATCCAGTGACCATTCCGTGTGGACACAGTTACTGTAAGAGCTGTATTACTGGCTGCTGGAATCAAGAGGATCAGAGGGGAGTCTACAGCTGCCCTCAGTGCAGACAGGCCTACAGTCCAAGACCTACTTTAGGTAAAAACACCATTCTGGGTGAAATGGTGGAGAAACTGAAGAAGATTAAACTTCCTGCTGACTGTTATGCTGGCCCTGGAGAAGTGCAGTGTGACGTCTGTACTGGAAGAAAATACAAAGCAGTGAAGTCCTGTATGGCTTGTCTAAACTCTTACTGTCAAAGTCATCTTGAACAACATGAGGATTTATTTAGAGGAAAAAAACACAATTTGATGGATGCCACCACACAGCTACAGGGGATAGTCTGCCATAAACATGAGAAGATCAAGGAGGTATTTTGCCGCACAGATAATAAGTGTATTTGTGTGCTGTGCACAATGGATGAACATAAAAACCACAACACTGTATCAGCGGCAGCTCAGCGGGCAGAAGAACAGGTATAAACACATGGCACTGGTGAAATAATGCACTTTTTTATTAAAAATGAAAAATACTGCATGTTCATCTTTTTTTCAGGAACACTGTTGTTTAAATTCAATTAATCTTTATTTCTATAGCACTTTTACAATGTAGATTGTGTCAAAGCAGCTTTACAAAGACGATTATAGTTAACTCAAATAGTGTCAGTCTAGTTTTCAGTGTTGAAGTTCAGTTTAGTTCAGTTCAGTGTGGTGTAATATTCACTGCTGAGAGTTCAAACACTGAAGAGCAAATCCTCAGGGCACGACCATTTCTCCTAAGGCCAAACGTCCTGTGTAGAGCTGCAGTCTAGGCGCAGGCTGGAGAAAGCTGGACATCCATCATGGAGAAGCTGCAGACGAGAGAGGTCATCTGTTGGTGTACAGGCTGTTCTTCAGGATCAATGCGAGGACTTGTCACTGGGGTCCTACAAGGATCAGTCTTATGCTCTCCACTCCTCCATGACCACCACAGCAGCTGCTCAGGATACAGCCTGGTCCAGGATTATGGAAACCTTGGAAATAATAAAAAAAGACCAACATTAGGGCAGATGCCGTTCAAATTATAAAGTCTTTTGGGAAGTGTTCCCAGCTCCAGTTGCCCTAAATAATGCAGACTAACAATCTTTTAAGAGGATTTGGATTTCACAAGCATTTGTGTTTTATGTGTATGCTAATGCAAAGAGATGTGTCTTTAATCTAGTTTTCAACAGATAGAGTATGTCTGCTTCCCGATCTGTGTTAGGAGGGCTGTGAGTTCAGGTGCTAGATATGAGATCGACCACCTACAGTTGATTTTGATATTTTGGGAATAATACATTTTCCAGAATTATTGAGCGTAGTGGACGTGGGGGGCTTTAATACACCAGGAGCTCCCTCAGATACTGGGATGCTGTTACTAATACTAACCACTGTTAGTGTGTTAATGATATAAGTAAATTAATAGAGCTTGTAAAATAATCACTAATTTGTTCGTTATTAAATTCCTGAATAAATTAGTATAATGATTCTTATTGAATGACACTTGAAAAATAAATAAATATATTTAAAAGTTTGTAAGGAAAAACAAAAACGTTGAGCAAAAAAGCTTAAGTACATCATGCTTTTATGATGCATTGTCTTGTCAAGTATTTCTTATGTTTGCTGTTCATTTTTATTCCAAAGAAACACTTAAAAGGCTTGAAAAGAAAGTTCCAGCAAAGAATCAAGCAGGGAGAAAAAGATCTTCAGAAGCTGAGGGATGCTGTGAAGTCTTATAAGGTGAGATGAAAACTATTTAATTATTGTCATTGTCTCTCATTGGATGTGTAGTGCAGTGATAAGACCTGATTGTGATGGGGTTTTTAACAGTGCTCTGCCCAGGCAGCAGTAAACTACACTGAGAAGATCTTTAATGAGCTGATAAGTTCCATTATGAGAAGGCGATCTGAGGTCACACTGCTAATCAGAGGTCAGGAAAAGGCTGCAGTGGATCATGCTGAAACACTTATTTTTCAAGTGAAGCAGGATACGGAGACTCTGAGGGAAAGTGACGCTGAGCTGGAGAATCTTTCGCATGTACAAAATCACATTCATTTTCTCCAGGTAACATCTAATAACAGAACTTCTAATGACAAGATTTTCAGCTTTTAAAATGAGCAGCTTAAAGATTATGTTGTCCTAAGCTTTGATAAGTGATGCAAATTGTTGTTTTTACAAATAATTAGTCAGATTCTCATTTAACCTCAGCCATAAAAAGAGCAAATCAATAAAACTATTTTCAGAAAAATTGTGTATTGCCATTTTTCATCTTATTAGGAAACCTAATAATAATGATAATAACAATAATAATATAATGAAATGTCAAAATAATTGTGTCAAGTGAAAAGACATTATGGTGGCGGAGTAGGTAGTTCTGTCGCCTCGCAGCAGGAAGGTCGCTGGTTTGAGCCTCAGCTGGGTCAGTTGCCGTTTCTCTGTGGAGTTTGCATGTTCTCCTTGCGTTCGCGTGGGTTTCTTCCGGGTGCTCGGTTTCCCCCACAGTCCAAAGACATGCGGTACAGGTGAATTGGGTAGGCTAAATTGTCCATAGTGTATAAGTGTGATTGAATGAGTGTGTGTGGATGTTTACCAGAGATGGGTTGCGGCTGGAAGCGCATCCACTGCGTAAAAACATGCTGGATAAGTTGGCGGTTCATACTGCTGTGGTGACCCAAGATTAATAAAGGGACTAAGCCAACAAAAAAATGAATGAATGAAAGAAAGAAAAGACATTATGTAAGACTGCAAGTCTTCCCAAGCCAGGATACACACAGAAACGCCGCCTTTATTATTATTATGTAATTTGTACAGCCTATAATATGTCGTTTATTTTACTCTCACCATCACTTATTACAACGATCTACAATGTTCTAAGCCATTTGCTTATAGCATTTAGTATGTGGCTCTAAAAAGGCTGAACAAGTGGACAGTCCCAGAATCAATGAATACATGTCTTTCTGGCATTTCTAACAAACATTATTATTTGTCAGACCCATTCTATTCAGTTTAACTAGTGTCAAAAAAAAAAAAGATATATATATATATATATATATATATAAATATATATATATATATATATATATATATATATGCATGCATGCATGCATGCATGCATACATACATGCATACATACAGTTGAAGTCAGAATTATTAGCCCCGCTAAATTATTAGACCGCTTGTTTATTTTTTCCCCAATTTCTGTGTAACCGAGAGAAGATTTTTTTAATACATTTCTAAACTTAATAATTTTAATAACTCATTTCTAATAACCAATTTATTTTATCTTTACCATGATGTCTGTAAATAATATTTTACTAGATATTTTTCAAGACACTTCTATACAGCTTAAAGTGACATTTAAAGGTTTAACTAGGTTAATTAAGTTAACTAGGCAGGTTAGGGGAATTAGGCAAGGTATTGTATAACAGTGGTTTGTTCTGTAGATTATCAAGAAAAAATATAGCTTAAAGGGGCTAATAATTTTGTCCTAAAAATGGTTCATAAAATATTCAAAACTGTTTTTTATTCTAGCCGAAATAAAATAAATAAGACTTTCTTCAGAAGAAAAAATATTATCAGACATGGTGTGAAAATGTCCTTGCTTTGTTAAACATCATTGGTAAAATATTTAAAAAAGAAGAAAAAAATCAAAGGGGGCTAATAATTCTGACTTCAACTATATATATATAAATATATACACAAGTCTAATTTTATATTGTGTAAATTGTCCTCCAGTTTCTCATATATTTACCAGTTTTTGACTTAATGATTTTCAATTTCTCATAACTGATTATAATCCTGTTGTAATTTTCCTCATATTGTCTTTAAATTTGATGCTAAGCAAATTTATTCAGTCAAAAACGGGTGCGTTTTGTTTTTAGATGAGGCAATGTTAGAAAGCTCAGGATATTGTTCCATTTTTTTTTTTTTTTTTTTTTTTTTTTTTTTTTTTTTTGGTGGAAACACAATTTCTTATTTCAAAATATTTCCAAAAATAAAAAGTTACAAATAAATGTATTCAAAAGATTATTTTAAGACATGGATGTACCCTGTTCAAATTTTAGTAACTCATTTCTAATAACTGATTTATTTTATTTTTGCCATGATGACAGTAAATAATATTTTACTAAATATTTTTCAAGATACTTCTATACAGCTTAAAGTGACATTTAAAGGCTTAACTGCGTTAATTAGATCAACTAGGCAGGTAAGGGTAATTAGAATAACTAGGCAAGTTAGAGTAATTAGACAAGTTATTGTATAACGATGGTTTGTTCTGTAGGCTATCGAAAAAAATTCTAGCTGAAAGGGGCTAATGATTTTTTTCTTTTAAATGGTGTTTGAAAAATTAAATTTTTAATTAAATTTAATTATTTTATTCTAGCCAAAATAAAACAAATAAGACTTTCTCCAGAAGAGAAAAATATTATCAGACATACTGTGAAAATTTCCTTGCTCTGTTAAAAATCATTTGGGAAATATTTTTAAAAGAAAACAAAAATTCAAAGGGAGCTAATAATTCTGACTACAACTGTATGTAATTTCACAATACAGATAGCAGCAAATACAATTATTCCATATGAAAAAGTATGGTTGTTTGCATTGTGATAATTTATGCAGTTAGTGGGTCTTCGCCGATAGTTCTTTTGTTTTATGATGGGGTAAATGGGCAATAGTGAATACAATAAAAGAATATTATTAATCTGATACTCTGAATTTGTTAATCATAAAAGTAGCCTCCACAGAGGCACACTAATAATGTTTGAGCAAGTAATAACTAAGGTCTGCAATCAATTCTTGTTCCGAAGGGAAAGTAATGAGTACCAAAAACATCAAAGATAATCTTAATACTGATAGTGTAAAATTCTTGGAATGTTTTTTTTTTCCTAAGTTTTCTTTTTTTGAATATTTCCCAAATGACTTTAACAGCAAGAGAATTTTCACAGTATGTGTAATAATATTTTTTTATTCTGGAGAAAGTCTTATTTGTTTTAATTCAGCTAGAATAAAAGCAGTTTTTAAATTTTTAAAAGCCATTTTAAGGTCAAAATTATTAGCCCCTTTAAGCTTTTTTTTTTCAATAGTCTACAGAACAAACCATCGTTATACAATAACTTGACTAATTACCCTTACCTGCCATATCCCCTATCCCATGTCATATTTAATATATAAGTATATATTTACCAGTTTTATAAGTAATTTAACAGTTTTAGCTAAAAGTTAGTAAGCAAGAGCTGTGTAAATCTAAATGTTGATTGGTTGAAGTAAAATGATGAATATTTCATTCTTTCTTTTTTCTTTTTCTGTAGAAATTCCAGTCTGTCTCATCAGCACCCCTTGAAATTGACATACTCTACACTCCCTTAAATTCTGTCTTAAATGGCATAAGAGAATCTGTCCGAAAGCTAAGAGACAAAATGGAGAAATTCTCCAAAGAGGAGATCACAAAGATAACTAGCAGAGGTGACTGACATTCTCAGAAACAAGTCCTCCATTATCTATTATCATCATAGAATGTCTTAAGAATGAATGTTTACTCTGGACTTACACTTTTTAATGTACTTTGATTTCCACAGTTACGATACCTAACACTGTTCCCAGAAACAGCTTCTTAAAATGTAAGTTAGTAGGCTCATTTGGAAAAGTGAATGGAAATAAAGAACTGTTTAATGGTTACTTTAGAGTATGATTGACAGGATATCTGAAAACTAAATTGAACCCATTGCAGTTCCATTTAACATTTTAACTTGCTTTTAACAGTGCTTTTTTTTCCCCTTTAGATTCGCATCAGCTTACTCTCGACCAAAACACAATAAATGGATGGCTTTGTCTGTCTGAGAGGAACAGAATGATTACTGAAAGACAGTCAAGACAGGGATATCCTGAACTATATCCTGATCATCCAGACAGATTTGATGAGTTTAATAGTCAGGTGATGTGTAAAGAGAGTGTGTATGGACGCTGTTACTGGGAGATTGAGTGGAGTGGGCCTTATGGTGTGTATGTATCAGTGTCATATAAGAATATTAGCAGGAAAGGAGGGAGTAAGAATTGTTTGTTTGGACACAATGATCAGTCCTGGAGTTTGTACTGCATGGGCCCGAGATTCTCATTCATACACAATAACAAACAGACTCACCTTCCTGTAGTATACAGCTCCTCTAGAATAGGAGTGTATGTTGATTACACTGCAGGAATACTGTCTTTTTACAGCGTCTCTGAACCCATGAGACTCATCCATACAGTCCAGACTACATTCACTCAGCCTCTCTATCCCGGGTTTTATGTTTGCTATGGCTCATCATTGAAACTGTTGTGAAAATGTTCTGGTAATTTGGAATGGGTAACACACAATACAAAGCAATGCATATGGTTCAAGTTAAGGGTAATACATGTGAAGGCTTAAACTATAGAAAATAAAATAAATGTGGCACATTTTATATATTAACATAAAAATAATAATAATAATAATAATAAAGCTGCATGAAAATCAGAAAAATCCCTTTCACACTGAGCATAATTAACCATTAAAAATCAAAAGTCAAGGTAATAGATCCATATAAAATACTCACACAGGCCAATCAATCACAGCACAACAAAGCAAGTTGATTTTATCTAACATGTTGATTTGAGGTTAGCAGTTAGTTAACATTTCACCCTCAGTGTGAATAATTTAATGAGTTATTTCTTAATATTTTATTCTTATATTATACTTCTGTCAGATGTGTATTACATGTATAATAATTATTTCATGTTGTCTGTTTCAATATTACAATGTTATGTTTTTTTGTATAATCCCAAATTAAACAGCTGAAAAAGGCAACACATACAAATTCCAAATTTGTGCTGTTGGACACCATTTATTGGGACATTTCAAAGATAAGTAAACACCTGAATCTCTTCATAAAAGGCCCTTTCAGAAGTCAGTTATTGAAAGGAAACCTTCAATTTTTATTCCATTGATCTGTACGAGAACTCACTTCAAGGGCTCATTGTCCTTCGTAGGGAATGGATCTGTACACTTCCATTTGGAGTAAAGCCTATAAATCTGTTTAAATAAATAGCAAATATATACATTTTTTCCAAAGGATATAATTTTTTTTCTGCTTAAATCATGTTATTATTAAGCCTGTAAACATTTTGCTTTTTGAATTATTCCAATAAAAATATACGTATTAAATATTCCCCCATGTGCTCTTGGTTAATAAAGCAGCATGGCAGTTTTGCCTTAATGTATAAACTGAGAATAACACAAACAAGACATTTTTAAGAACTGTTTATTCATGAAACAACCACACAAATAAATGCAACATGAACGTAATGCCAATTCTTTAAAATCAAATTAAAACACACAGAATAAAGTTCAAACAATTAAAATTAAAATTTCCACACATGCTAAATTGCAACTTTACTGTTACAAATGTAAAAATACAAACATTTAAATACATGTCATACAATTTTAGCATACAAAAAACCCTCCTAGAGTAAGGTCAACTAATTATATACATATACACACACTACCTGACAAAAGTCTTATCCTCAATGCCAGTTGTAAGAGCAACAAATTATAACTTAATTCTAGTTGATCATTTGGAAAAGTGGCAGAAGGTAGATTTTTTTTTTTTTTTTGATGAATCATCTGTTGAACTGCATCCCAATCATCACAAATATTGCAGAAGGCCTAATGAAACCCGCATGGACCCAAGATTCTTACAGAAATCAGTCAAGTTTGGTTAAGAAAAAAAATCATGGTTTAAGGTTACATTCAGTATGGGGGCATGCAAGAGATCTGCCGAGTGGATGCAACATCAACAGCCTGAGATATTAAGACATTTGTGCTGCCCATTACATTAAAAATCACAGGAGAGGGCAAGCTCATGGGACAATACACTATATGAATTTACTATTTTCACTATATTATTTTTCCACTGCACCATGACTATATTCTATACTGTACATTATTTCTGTCAACAAGTCCTTTGGCCTGTGCCTTTCATATTAGCCACTTCTGATAGCAAATGATCAACTAGAAGTCAAGGTATTATATGTTGCTCCTAAAAGGCGACAAGACTTTTGCCAGAACATCTAAAACATCTGTATTCTTTAGAATATTTTCCAATAGTCTTTGGCCACATTGACAAGTTTGGGATCATCCAAAACTTTAAAACTAACTTATAATTTTTCATTTATTTCAGCAGTTTTCCAAAAGTACCTCAAGCAGAAAAGAGACATCCTGAATTATCTTTTTTGTTTTAGACTTTTATCTCACATTATTTTCTTTGTTTCAATAAATGTTCTTAGTTATAACTGCGATTGAGCACATTAATCTTGCTCAGGGCATCTTTGTTGTCAATGGTCTTATGAACGGTAATAATGAAGGGGAAGGCAGAGGGCAGTTCGACTCTACGGCTGAGCTTCTGGTGTCCCCAGTGCAGACAGCGCAGCCTCTCAGCCAGGTCACGGCGTCCTGCTCGCTCCAGACCGTCCTGCAGCAGCTTAGTTTTGTTTGGTTTGTCCCAGGAACGCTCATACCTATCAATCAAAAGCAGAAGTCACTAAAGGTAAGCCACCAAAATGACCCTCAGCTCTCAATGGTGTGTAAAATAAATACTAATTAGCTGGTAATAATTATCAACAGCTAGATTTGAGTATTAAATACCATGATTCCAGCATTCTCTGAGCCTGAACTCTCTTTTCTTTGGATGTGGCATTAAACTGTCTGACTTCATTTCTGGTGAATCCCAGTTCAAATGCTAGCACATTCCACTCAAAGCCCAACTGCTTAGCAATCTCCTGCACAGATTTCATATTGATCACTGCATCCTAAAGGACAAAGAGGAGCATTCATAGACATGGAAACATTTCATGTAAAAAAAAAAAAAAAAAAAAACAGAGTTTACTCACCTCTTGTGCCTTGTTTGGCATTTTGTCTGCATATAAAAGGATTAAAGTTCTTCTCTGTGCTTTTTTTGCTCAGTTTTTGTCCTTAATATTTCATGTGAAACGCTTACAAGTTGTTGCATGTAGAGGTTAATGTGACTGGAGTAGTCAGTTGGCATAGAGACTGACCAATACAAATCTGCCTGGTTAAATATTAAACATTTTTACATTAAGAATTTGCTTGTGAGAGTAAAGTAAGCAAAAAAAAAAGTTTTTGAAATAAAAAATCATCTTAGTTCTGTGTTAAAGGTATAGTTCACCCAAACATGAAAATTTTATGATCAATTTAACTGTTCTAGGTTTTTTTTAAATTCTGTTAAATACAAAAGAAGATATTCTGAAGAAAGCTGGGAACCTGTAACCATAGTTTTGTGATACAGATTACATAGATTTTTTGATAATTGTGGATAAATATATTTGGTTAAGACAATAGGGTTAACATAGCAGAAGTATAGAAGTTTAACATTAATCAACAGTGGACCAGTATCAGTTTCCTCATATATGTCGCAAGGGAGAATGAAAATACGCACACAAGATGTAGAGACTTTCTCATAGTGGAGTCCAAGCTCTTCCTTTTAACCTGCTTAGGTGAAAGCATTAAGTTCTGCATTAAGTGTTGTTGTCAATCACACTAATCTGTGACAGAAGTTTACTCAAAAGTGAAGGTTCTTTTTGTCTTTAATTACTAACACTCCTGTCATTCCAAGTACTTTTAGTATATATAAGAAGATATTTTACAATATGAAAATGCAATGAAATTATGAAAATTGTAAAATTAAAGCAATAGAGCAGAGATTTGGTCCCTGCATCAAGTCAGGGTGTGCCAGTAGCCTTTAAAACCGCATGGGAAAGAACTGAACATTTATTTCATGTTTTAGGTAACTAATTCTTTATATACAACTCCCTTGATCTCTAAAGGGAAAAAATGCAAAAGAAACTTGTCGTTAAATAAATTTTAGCAGAGACGCAACTGCCTGTCATTTTCACATTCGTTTTTCAGTTAGGGACTAGGTCTAATATTAGAGTAACCTAATAAAAATATTTGTTGGACACTGCACAGTAGTCTACACTATAATTAATAATATAATTTATTATATTCATTATTATTAATAAAAGTAAGTTATACAACTGATAAAACGCAAAACCCTTTTTAATGTTTGCTTTCATTTTGACATTTCTAACAGTTGTAATAAGAAACATCCCATTGTGCAGCAACAGTCTCAAGTTAGGACACTTAAAAATGGATCAGACTCCTTCCAATCCAGAACCCCAGGTACTTAACCCCAGATGACACTTGGGCATCTGGGCTAACCCCAGATGACACTTAGCATCCTCTTTAGAATCTGGTTAAAAGACTCCACTAAGACTGTCCGTCTATAAGTGATAAACAGAGAAATGTAACTGCTTTACCTTGAGGAGTTGGTTTTCATCCCCTTGCGCTTGGGCAACACAGTACAGCAGACAATTTTTACTATAAATTATGGGAGGAAGTAAGGTGCTGGTAGCCAGACCGCTCCCTCCATTACCTGGACCTGAGACCAGCAGTTCTTTAAGTGGTTGTATTCATTTACATTTACATTTAGTCATTTAGCAGACGCTTTTATCCAAAGTGACTTACAAATGAGGACAAGGAAGCAATTTACACAACTATATGAGCAACAATGAATAAGTGCTGTAGGCAAGTTTCAGGTGTGTAAAGTCTAAGAAGGAAAGCATTACAATTTTTTTTTTTTGTAGTTAGTTGAGGAGTCAGAGAGGTAGTTGCATACATTATAAAGTGGAGACTAAATAGTTGAGTTTTTAGTCGCTTTTTGAAGACAGCGAGTGACTCTACCGTTCTGATGCAGTTAGGGAGTTCATTCCACCAACTGGGCAGATTGAGCGCGAGCGTTCGGGAAAGCTTTTTCTTCCCTCTTTGGGATGGAACCACGAGGCGACGTTCATTCACAGAACGCAAGTTTCTGGAGGGCCTATAAATCTGCAGAAGTGAGAGCAGATAAGAAGGGGCGCAGCCAGAAATCGCTTTGTAAGCAAACATCAGTGCTTTGAATTTTATGCGAGCAGCAACTGGCAGCCAGTGCAAATGGATGAGTAGCGGAGTGACATGTGCTCTTTTAGGTTAGTTAAAGACCACTCATGCTGCTGCATTCTGAAGCATCTGAAGAGGTTTGATAGAGTTAGCTGGGAGCCCGGCTAGGAGAGTTGCAATAGTCCAGTCTGGAAAGAACAAGAGCTTGAACAAGGAGTTGAGCTGCATGTTCAGATAGGAAGGGTTGGATGTTTCTGATGTTGTAGAGTGCGAATCTGCAAGATCGAGCAGTTCTAGAGATGTGGTCAGAGAAGTTTAGTTGGTCATCAATCGTTACTCCAAGGCTTTTCACCATTTTGGATGCAGTAATGGTTGCCCCGTCGATCTGGATTGAAAAGTTGTGATGTGGAGTCAGGTTGGTAGAAACTTCTAGCATTTCCGTTTTCGTGAGGTTAAGCTGAAGATGATCTTTCATCCAGTGTGAAATGTCTGACAGGCAGGCTGAGATGCGAGCCAGAACCGAGGGATCATCAGGGTAAAAAGAGAGGAATAGCTGGGTATCATCAGCATAGCAGTGGTAGGAGAATCCATGTTTCTGGATGACTGATCCCAACGATGTTGTGTAGATGGAGAAAAGAAGTGGTCCAAGAACAGAGCCCTGTGGTACCCCAGTGTTTAGATGCTGTAGGTTGGACACCTCTCCTCTCCAAGACACCCTGAATGACCTGTTAGAGAGGTAAGATCCGAACCACTGAATAACCGTGCCTGCAACACCTAGTGACTCAAGCGTAGATAGCAGGATCTGGTGGTTTACAGTGTCAAAAGCAGCTGACAAATCCAGCAAGATGAGGATTGATGATTTAGAGTCTGCTTTAGCCAGTCTGAGATCCTCCACGACCGAGAGCAGGGCACTCTCAGTTGAGTGGCCTTTCTTAAAGCCAGATTGCTTGTTGTCCATGAGGTTGTTTTCAGTGAGAAAGTCTAGGACTTGATTGAACACGACTTTTTCCAGAATCTTAGCCATGAATGGAAGCAGGGACAACTAGAAACTAGCGTTTGATCGAGGTTGGGTTTCTTTAGCAGTGGGGTTATCCTAGCATGTTTAAATGAAGTGGGGAATACACCAGAGTCAAGAGATGTGTTGATTATGTGAGTCAGTGTTGGTATGACTGCAGGAGAAATGGCTTGCAAAAGAAGAGTGGAAATGGGATCAAGCGGACAGGTGGTTGCATGGCTAGATAGCATGAGTTTGGTCACCTCAGACTCAGAGAGCTGAGAAAAAGCGGTGAGCATGTGTGGTGATGGTGGTGTATCTTGCCTGTTTAGGTGCAGTAATGCTGCTCTCAACCAAAAGAGCTAAGGTTCTTGGGCTCACTGCCAATGGAGTGGTGTAGCTCTGGTAACTGGCTGCATTGTGTTTGCGAGAAGTCAATCAAAGCCTGGCCAGTCTTTTCCAAATAGAACATGGACAGAAAAGTTTTTTACCACGCCTACTTGAAAGGAGCAAGGGCTCAGCAGGCAGTGCAGAGATGATGAAACAGCAAGCTGGTGCTTGGTGAGTATCCGTGAATCCACATTATAGGTGGCTTTGCTATCAACTCAAGGTCTCACTATCTTGGCTGAACCAGAGTGATGCAGCTTCATGAATCCAGCACTGTCATCACTAATTGTCTTTTCACCTGAATGGTTCGAGTGAGAGCTCAGTGAGGCTCTGGATCATTGACAATGTAGCTGGTTAGCCAAGCCCGGGCATTTAGAGAAGGTGGTTTGGTGGGCATTGATTCATCCTTGGCGCCGGGGACTGCTGGTCCACTCACCAGGCAGGACGTGCCCTCCAGTGGCCTCCCTCCAACAATAAGGGCCAGCTCTCTCTCCAGGTCACGGGCAAATGATGGCTCTGCCAATCTCTATTGCTGTCACCAATTCAGAAATGGACACAAAGTTTCTCATGCTTACAGGCCCCCTGATCTGGCAAGAATGAGCTCACAGCAGATCACCACTTTTTCAGTGACCTGGGTAGCGGTGGGACTTCGGCCACAGGTGTGTGAGGCATATGAGCTGGGTGGCCTGTACTCTAATATGGATATTTTCACTGCAGGACCACTGAGGTGAGAGTTCAATATGGACCAGAGGTGAAAGTTCCATATGGGCTAATTTCTCCTTCTTCACCATCTCATAATCATCATATTGTTGGGCTTGTATGGATTAAGATGCTTGTTGAGCTTCTCCTGTGAGGAAAGAAAACCTGGCTAGGCTTACCTAAAGGAGCAATGTAGGACCACACCCCTGTAGATCAACAACCTGCAGGAGGAACCATAGGGCTTTAGTGCACTGGGCAATGGTCAAAGTCCAGTGCCACAATGACCCAAACTTTGGAAATAGAAACAGTTTTTTGGGACATGGAATTTTTTAAATTTCACGAAAAGTTTTGAGACACTGAGAGGGATGGAGCCTGAGCTTGTGTGGGAGGCTCATCGATACCAACTAGATATAGTCAATCTTACCTCCATGCAAAGGCTCTGGAACTTCTTGAAAAGGGCTGTACTGTGTCCTACTCTAAAGGTTACAGACTGGTGTGGGCTTGCTTATAGTTCCCCAGCTGTTTTGTGTTGGAGTTTTCCTGGTGAATAAGAGAGTCACCTCCCTGTGCCTAAAGGCTGGAAAAGGTCTCTCACTTTAGTTTGCGCTTATAAGCCAAACAGCAGTAAAGAGTACTTAACATTTTTGAAGTCCCTGAAAGGGGTGCTAGTAGGTGCTGGAGGACTTTATCGACTATGTGGGGAAAAAGAGTGAAACTTGAAAACCTGGATGATTGAGAGAAATTGCTTCCCCAATCTGAATCTGAGTTGTGTTCTTTTTGTGATTTTTTTTTTGTGTTAGTCACTGTTTTTAATAACATGTTTCAGTATAAGGTGCACATTGCATCAGGACACCCTAGGTTGATGATAAACTTTGTGCACATTTCATCTGATCTCCGATTGAGGGGCAGAGCTGTCAAATGATCACCACCTGGTGGTGAGTTAGATGCGTTGGTTAAGGGGTCTTCTAACATTTCAGAGAACATCCCATGGATGTGAGCAGAGATAATAAGGCCATGTTCCACTAGGTTTACCTTCTGCCCAAGCACTGTCCCCTGCTCCATTTCCTAATGTGAGACCTTATGACAGGTGAGGCACCGCAGACTTTGGAGTGGTTAGTCTTACCCTTTGGAACAACCTCCAGTTTGTGTTGTGCTATCAATGCACTCCAACTCCATATGCATCAGCACCCCTTGACAGAGAAGAGCATCCGTTTTTTTCTGGAAACCTGCTTTTACTTAGACAATTGTCTTCGAGCCTGCCTACGATTGAGGCGGCCCAGAGCTTTATTGATCATCTGCTATCCTTTCTGGTGCTTGCTTTGAGATTAGACAATGGGCCAGTAATGACCTTGCAGTGTGGAGTCATCTGAGGCTTGGGCAACTAGTATGAAGTTGTGGTTGACATAGGATAAGTCTGACATCCCTGAATCAACACTGGGTCTGAGTTGGGATGGGCAATCTGATAATTTGTCCTACAGACATAGACCGGTCACCTATCAGACATATAATCTAAGGAACACTCATAGGATCCTTGCTTCCCAATACAACCCTCTGGGACGTCTCCTTCTATACACAAAAAACAAAGAAAATTGTTAAACACCTGTGGAACAGGCAGTGAGAATGCAATGATCCTGACCTCCTTCAATCCTGAAGAGAGTGGGAAAGGAACTAAGTTGCCTTTCTGGGGTCTCTTTCCTCGCCCTTATGTTCGTCCTATGTTAAGGATAAAGGGAATCATGGAATTCACATCTTTTCAGATGCCTCTGAGCAAGCCTACAGAGCAGTAGTTTACCTATGTACTGTTAACTCAGCAGGTCAGATCTATCTCTCTTTTCTTATCGCTCATTCCCATATTACTACCAGGAGAATAC